AAAAAAAAAAAAAAAACTATAAAACTAATATAAAGACATAAATAAATTGTTTTCAGTTTTTACTTTGCTTACCTGAATTGTTGGGGGTATTTTGCAAACAAGAAAGTACCAAAAGAACGGTGAAATATTTCTTAATTTCTCTTACTTCATACGTATACAGTCCTGTTGTCTGTGAATTTCTTAACAATCAGATTTGCTAGGAAAATTTTCATTTACTGAAAGAAACTGGACGGAAAAACTTTAAGAATGTGCGTACTCGAAGTGTTGGTGAACTTCAACACAATGAAAATGTAGAAAAAAAGGTGAAACCGGGTTATTTGGCAGAAAACAAGAGAATCAGGGGTGCCTCATAACTTCGTCTTTCACTCGGATGTTTCTTTTCCTGCAGAGACCACGCATAGTAATTGATATCAGAATAACACTAAGGTCACTAAGACCAGGAGGTAAATGGACGTTTAGGAAATCAATATCATTTCAGTGATTATGCTTACATCCCTAGGAGTGATCTACGGTCGACGAATACAGAATACTATATTTGTAGAGCTTTTTAGAGGCCAATGATAAAAGAAAACAGCGGAATATCGAACTTGTTCGTTCTCGCTCTGCCGATGAGACATCCTTTTAGCGCAGAAAATCGAAAGCATGCCGTGATCACCTGACTTCTAAATGTTTTGTTGTTTTTAAGTTTATATATTTTGAGTAATGAAGTGTTAATGTCATACAGAAGACTGATCTAGAATTTAAAAAGACGTCATTGTCAAATTGCTGAAAGATCTGAAACTGACTGAGATCTAAAGTTACTCAGAAGAGAGAGTAAGTATCACAAACTTCGTTTTTTTTTTTTGTTATTGAAGTATGCAGATTTCCAACAAACCTTGGCCTTCTGATGATTGCGACCATGCAAATAATCTATCCAATCTTCTAAATGAAACTTATTCGATCACAATGAATTGTTATCCTTTGACGATGTAGTCACTTCCGATGTGAATCGCGACGTTTCGACTACGTGCTGCAAGTCTTCTTCAGGCAATGAGGTCGCTGGACTAATAGCACGCACGCACGCACGCACGCAACATCATAGGATTGATTGATTTTCAACAGGAGTAATCAGCTTTGACAGTTTAAAGATCTTTCTGGGCCTGAGTATGAACTTTGATCAGTTTCGAATAACGGGTTCAATCAGAAGACAGAGTATCTGAGATGTAACCGCCTGGCTGCTTGTCTGTGTAGACGTCAGACAGTCAGACAGACAGTTCTGTTTCTTGACAATGGTTTCATCAAGTTTTTTTTTTTTTCTGGTGGTAGGAGGGTAATTTGGCAAACCTCCGGCGTAGTTCTTTATGTTTCAGATGCGTGGGCCATAAAGATTTTTTCCTCTCCTTTGAAAATGCCATGGTTTTATTTTTTTTTCTCAGTTGTAAAATGATTTTAAGATATACCAAAAATGATCAGCCCTAAGTTGACAACAGAAGTAAACATAACCACCGCTGTATGTCGGTAATGTTACTGGATATTGAGTACCAAACGCTTCCCTGTTCAAGGCGTATTTATCCAATGTTTCAACGAATATAGAAATGAGGTTGCCTTGTTGATAATCAGTGGTGTTGAAAAATTATATGACATCATGATATGCTGATGACTTCGGGTCGGAGTTGAAACCTTTAAAACAGATAAAAACTTTAATCTCTATTCAAACTGAATTATTCTAGAAACACAAGTTTTGCTAAGCAACCTAGCAGTAATAAGAGAACGTATAAAAGCGATGTCACGATTTCTATCAAGAAATGTTTAATTTGATTTTTTTTTTCAAGTTTGGCCTGTTTTCAGTCTTCTTGTTCTTATCCACCAATTCTTACCTTAGTCGTATTTTTCTATTCTAGAGAACAATTATTCATGGTTTGATTCTGTTTCAAAGCGATTATGTATGGCTCCAAAAGGGTACATTTTAAGATCGGCGTGAAGCAAAGGAAAACGATGAGTGCCCTTGTGAAATCGAATCCCAGACCTTTGGACTTCGCGCTCCATATTCTTTCCCCCTGAGCGACAGATAACTTTATGACGGGTCAGACTATTAGTAGGTTTAAATGTGACACCCACATGGTCTCGTATTATTCCGCCTTATTTCAGTATAGTCCTTTGGTCGTGCTCTCTCATCCCAAAACAAAGGATTCGTCGCCTCACGCAAATCAACAGAAGTGTATTGACGCGCATTTTGCCCTACAAGAAATTGAAACTGATGTAGTTAGAGTGAAATGGAGAACCCAGTAAAAATAAAATATGATAAAGAGACAAAAATTATGTGTATTTGCCTCAAACGGAGCTAAAACAAAGGGTCCTTCGGCAAGCGACTTTGTTTAATTCGAGTTGTGTAGTTTGCGTTGTTATTAGTTTCTTTTCATTGAGTGCCATTCAAAATTAATAGAAAAAATGCAGAAAGTAGACTTGTCATTCTTCTACCGACATGGTTAAGACACTAACGTGTTTACATACAAAAACTTCTCTTGATGTTAATTCAAGCTTACTAGGGACAACATCGCCTCGCAGCACTCGAACAAATGAACTCAAGAAATATCGTTATCAACAACCGTTTATGCTGGAGATATTTACCGCTGTGATACACCTTTATAATACTCCACGTGGGTCGAATCGATATCCCACGAAATTAGACGGATGAGGATTAATTTTCGCTGACATTTGCGGCGAACAGTTGCCCTTGGTAATTTCCTTAATATTTCATTTTTGTGATCTAAATGTATTCAGTTTTAAATTTTTAATGACCATCGGTGTCATTTTCAGTGTTTTGAGGTTTGTTCAGTTGTCTTTTGTAGATGTTCACTGAAGATTTACATAATACCATTATCCCTCTCTCGTACCGTCAATTCTTATCTAAATATTGCTTTAGCATTTCCAAGTTTAAGAAAACAATATAGCTATAAATTAACTGGGGAAGTTGCTTCTGCGGGGATGCATGCGAATGTATCCTGGCTTATCTCGAAAACCGCTTAATCTAAGCCATCAGAATTCGCCACAACTGAAATACCAATTTTTGGCTACAAAGCTTAATTCTAGTTTTAAGGAAGAGGTGGCGACATTCTCGCTATCAAGAGCCATTAAGACTCTCCTTTGTCTGGCTGTTTTCTTGATTGTATTGTTCGTGTGTTTTTGAACTGCCCTTTGCTTTATTTTCCTTACAAGATAGTCGCAAAATTCGAATTGCGCTGCGTACGTATGAACTTCCACTTATGACTTTCTAGATAATTTCTAAACAAAGTTTAACTTTGTGAGATTTTATCATAGGACAATTTAATTTCTCAGACGTGTTTTGAACAGTTGATTACTTCATGCTCCGTAGCAACTGAAAGAATAGACCTTGAAGTGACCATTTATTTGGCAATTAACAAGTTAGTGCATTGATTGCAGTCGAGTTTTTAAGTTGATTCACAGGAGTTTCACCGCCCGGTGATTATTTAGATATTTCCAGCTGATGAGTTAATAAACAAGTTTGCTCGTTTATCCAATTGGTTGTTTTGTTTCTATCCGGGAATTTTGATGATTCGCGACCGCAGGCCACACGAATAGACGTCGTAGAGAGATTTTCTGTGTTGTCACAGAATACAGAAGAATTGACAAGACCGACTGGCCGCACGTCTGTCTAAACTCAAATGGCCGTTCTTCAGGTAAATGAAATCCAAGCGTTTTCTCTCTTCCTCTAAATCGTGTTATCAAATAATGCCTTTTTATTTACAACATATTCCAGGCCCGTTTATTTCTGATTTCAGAGCCGGGGATGCTTGTAAAAAGAGTAATGTATTGGTAAAAGGTCATTTGTAATGGCGGCAGCTTCAAGCGTGCATTTACCATTTCCCTGCGTACATGAGTCAGTAATTTGAAACACTAAATTGACACAAGTGAAAGTTGTGACGTGCTCTTAAGAAAAGGGAAATACAGCTAAATACAATGGGGCACATCCTTCCTGCCTACAATATTCCTAGTGAAAGGATAATTACAATATATCACAGGAAACACTTTCCTCGAATTTTCCCAAACGTGCTATTGGAAATATATGAAATTCCAGTCAGTTATATCGCGTCAAAGCATGGTAAATATTTTAATACTGACCAACTTGGTACGAGTATAGTGTCACTTAGATTATTACCTTTATAATACCCCGCTAATCATAATCAGTTACTCGTGGGATTCGATTCCATTAATCACTCACGAAAAACAACGGTGCATGCCTTGCATTTGACGACACTGTTACAACTGATCTACATGAAGCAAAACTTCACCAAGAAATGGCGCCTTTGAATTCCTGCGTCCAAAATTAATTACTGAGAATGAAATTGTCAAACATCAGCAGAAATTGTTTTAATTCCATTTTGATTGAGCGCTACCGTCAAAGAAAACAACTTATTTTATCGAAGAACATCAGGTAGCCGTCCCTCCGATGCGACAAACACCTGTTTGAAAAAAAACAAGATCTCAAAATTCACCTCGGAAACTTATCCCGCGCTACTCTTACTTAGAAAGTACTAGAGCTTAACGAAGATATTGCAAGTGCTTTTAACGGATATTGTTTGATGTTCAATGATATCTATAATTTGTATGTTCTATTAGTCAAACAGGGAGAAGAAACTCAAACTTCAAGATCTGAACTCGTTCATCACATGCAAACTTTGCAGTGGATATCTGATTAAGCCGACGACGATCACGGAGTGTCTTCACACATGTAGGTACCCCGGGATAAACGAAACGCTTTGTTACAAACGGCAACAATTTGGTCGCGATAAAGAGAATATAAACCCTTTCCATCGCTTCTGGGAGTTAAATAATCAACAAAAACCGGTATCGAGTTTTGATAACGCAAACTTAAATGTGTCTCTTCTCTTAACTAAAGTGAAATGCGGCAATTTCCATTTGTTGTGAAACTGTCGCCTTCAAAGCGCATTAAAAAACATCTGCCTGCGTTTGTTATGAACGACCATCAAACACTATTCATTTCTTTATTAGTTTAACTCATGGAGGTAAAACTTTTAAGAAGATCTTCTGAAGGCACTGAACGACACATTTTGCCCGCTTCGCCATGCTTCGCCTAAATGATAACATAAGGAGGTAGAAAACTGGAATTCTGGATTTCAGCTTTGCTTTCGTTCGGACATTAAAAACCAATCCAAGCTAGTGATTTACGAGTGATTCTCCATTTCAAAGTCATAATTATTCATAAGATGGCACACTTTTGACGCTTTTAGATAATTTTATTAGATACAACAGTAGGGAGTGATAAGCCTAAATTATGATAACAATTGCGAAACTCATAACACGACCAGTAAGTAAACATCGAGGGCTTTCATTCGTAGAGAGAGGTTCGTACATTTCGACCGTGGTCGATCTGATAAAGCAGCAATTCGCGACAACGGCGAATTAAAAGCTTTGCCTTAGCTACAGCTGCTACTAAAGTCCGCAATTGTTCAAGTTTCGTCATTCATTCTGTGTCCTAGGAGATAATAAAGTACCCCTGAGGGAATATACAATATTAACAGATTGCCAAAGGAAAGCTGCTCGATAACTGCCCCTTGATAAATCTGAATGTGCGTGTTTTACGCCTCTACAGAGCAAGTTCAAATTATTTGGCAAATAACGCAAATTATAGACGAAATAAGCGGTGGCATACTTGAAAGGTTAGTGAATGGCAGGTACGATGACCTTATTGTAAACACGCTCTACTGAAACAAAGACAGTGATTATCTTTTAGTCAGCTACCCAATCAAGTTTGTTTGTTTCTGAGAATAATGACGTTTCTTTAAGCTTGAAAAAGAGATTAGTCCGGCTTGTATTTGAGAAAATTAGTTTGAAACAGCAGAATTAGGAAAAATACGATATTAATTTGGCTTATCCAAGGAAACAACGTATTTATCTGAATAAAGTCTTCTTTTTCGTTAATTTCTGTTAGAAAGACAATTTTCCCTAAGTACTATCATAATCTAATCATGTGACTAACATTGTTACCAGCTCAACGGTTGTGAAAATCAAGAAAAGGGATCCTGACCGTTGTTTATCGTTCCTGCATTTGTGATATGAGCGCTCAACATCCTCAAAAGCCGAATAGTTCTGCTCGGTCACATATGAGGAGGACATACACTTCACAATTGATTGTTTTGTTGCTGAAAAGGCACAATTGGGTGAGATATGATTTGTAGGGGCTATGCATAAATCCAAGTAAAACGGGTTGTACTCCTAAAAATTTTGAACAAGTCGTTCGAAGTCAGTGACACATCATTTACATGGAAAATTTCTTAGGGGTTATCACCTGCTTGGTGAGTCTTTGCAATTACGTGCACAGAGTGAAGGGTGTTTTGGCTGTATTTACACAGAAAAGAGCGTCACGGATTTAGCTTAATTCAGCTATGCACTTACACCACAACAAGAATCATCTCCTAGTTATCAAGCTTCGGTTGTTAATTAATGAAAATGTGGTTTTTGTTTGCGCTAGGATAAAGCGCTCAGTATCGGCTTCCTCATTCGTGTCTATTGGTCTTGACAATGTAGATTACCTCAATGGATTAGTGCCATACGAATTTAGATTCTGGCTTGAAATCATAGGAGATCTGATTATCGTACATTGAAATCCAGTTTTTTTGCGAATTTGAATTAATTGTGGCGATAAACTGGAAGAAAACAGTCAGGTATTTGTGACCACAGGCGATTTTATCACGGGTGTGCGTAATGCGTGTTCGCGAGCCAGCCACGGTTATGGCGGGAAAATTAAGACGTGACTCCGTATACTTCACTGCAAGTATCGCTATGAAGATAATACTAACTCACAGCGTAATGACCTCTATTGGGAAAACATGATAAACACCTCACACCAATCTTGCCCATTAAAGGTAAATAACAGATAACCCTTTTTAAAGAACGTCGAGGCTGAGATTTGCCAAAACTCTTTCAAAAATTTTGTTCTTTAAAGACCTGGAAACATGCCTTAGTTTAGAGTCAATGAACTATGTTTAAGTTCCCGCTGTTTTGAGGTAGAAAAGGAAGGAGACTATACAGTTTACTTACACTATATTTTGGGAAATGTTAATATAACATTAATTATGATGCACTAAAACCTTTTAGGCACATCCCACTTTGAAGTCGAACCTAACGTAGAAAGTTCTTAGGTCACATTAGCGTGTAACTTCAAGAACATTTTAAGGACGTTTTCAGGCTTAAACCTTGAAAAAGAAAAGATTCCGGCTCAGCTCCAAACTTAGACGCGTAAACAATAGGAGAAAGAACAACTGAAGCGATCAAAGAAATACCTCGTTGACTGCAGTAAAAAAGGCGGTTCACATCCTGACAAACTTTTTGCATGAACACTTAACCCTTTGACCCCTAAGAGAGATTAACAACTAACTTCTCCTTACGATAACACCCCTGAGTAAAACATTAAAGGTCACGAGAATAAAGGAAATGATTAATAACTCAAGAAGCTTTTGATTGTTAAACAAATTCCTCTTTTAAGTACCCTATGGAATTTTTAGAGGACAGTTTGAAGAATATGCATACTGATGTTGGGGTTTGAAGGATCAAGAGTTGCTAACGGCGTCGTTTCGGCTCTGATGGTCACAAAGACTCAACATGGCTCTGCGACATCTCAAGTTTCAAGTTTATTAAAGTTTACCGACCATTGTTTCTAATTATAATGAGAGAGGCTTACTTATCTCATTGGTTTTTTTTTTTATTCCACAGTCTGCAGATCATGTATTGTGAGATATTTACAAGATAGGGACGACAATAAATGCCCCACTTGCTCGATTCTCATCCACGAAACAAATCCATTTGAAATGCTCAGGTATTTGAGGTCATGTATTGCGTCCTACTAAGTAGTCTGATCTTCTTCCAAGCAAAGGTTATAGCAGTTGGTCAAAGAGGATCTTAAAATAATGATGTACACTCGACTGAAGAGATTCTATATCGAAGATCAAACGATCGTTATGAACCCTGTATTGAAAAAGAAGAGTGAAACTGGCGACTGTTTACAGTTTTAGGTGATAATGATTCTCTCTTTAAGTTGTTAATATCAAGTTCCTCACACCCGAGACCACAGTGTAAAATTTCGAGTGGCACAATTCTGTTCTTGTGAAGGCACAAGACTGAGGTAAAGTTGTATCATGAGATAAGTTCGAACACGCAAATTTCCGGTTTGAAGGTGATCTTTGTTGCATCAAATTAGACAATACAACCAAACATTCTTGCTTTTATATCTATTTTATCAAAGCATTTGTACAGTAACACGTAAAGATTTAGTGAGGAGTATTTACAGTCCTCACTGCACATGTAACATTGCCACTTGTGTACCTATAAGTCTCATCTCAAAAATTACGTAGACAAATAAAAACGTGGCTGTACAATTGGCTGGCGATTTCGCGTTTTCCAGTTTTTAAATGAAGTATGCTAGCCTAGCCAGCCCTTGACAGCGATAAGTGTTAAAGATAAACGCTTACAGTATGTATTTTCTGTTGACAGGTCGGACCAGACGCTGGAGGATGTAGTTTACAAACTTGTTCCCGCGTTGCAAGCTAGTAAGCCCTGTAATGTTTTTTAAGTATGACACTAATTGAGAACAAAAATTCAACAACAAAAATAACAACTTCAACGTTTAAGGATGAGAAGTTAATCGTTGAATTTTGTAGCTTCTACTCATTATTTTTCTATCAAGGTAGCTCGATAAAGTTTTCCTAAGCTCTTACCGGCCAGATTCAGAGCACTCAAAAACCAACCCCCCTCCCTATACTGTCGAATGATTTTCACACGTGTTGACCAAAGAGTTGAATTTTGAAATTATGGACGTGGCATTGCAATCGTCACTCATATCTTAATGTTATGGGGAATATCCGTTAAGAAGTTTTTGGGAACGGTCTCTAAAAATCCTCGATAGTGAGTTGAGTTGTATTATTATTATAATTTTGTATGGCTTACAGTTCAAGAGAACGTTATACTAATTTAGTTGGGTAAAGACCAATAAACCCAAATTCGATATCATATCTTCAGAGAGCGGTACACCGACTGTTTACCGGCCCGATATAAAAATAACCACCCAAAGCCTTCAGGATCTTTTTTTTAGTTTAGTGCCAAATCCAAGCGTTGATATTAAGCTTCCAGTAAGATTAGGGTCGAAAGAAAATGGTAGACAGTAGTGTACGATTAAATGAAAAATTATGATTGGTTTCAGACGAGGAAGAGAGAGAACGAGAATTTTACATGCAACAAAGTGTCGAAGAGAGAAAGAAAATAAATGAAGAACCCAAAGAAAATGGAACGAATGGTAAACATTTTGTCAATTTGTTAGTGATTTCGAATCTCAATCGTAGCGTAGTTTACTTCGGTTACGCCTACCAACCCTGATTAGGGATTCCAATAACGATTGTTTATTCGTTTTCAGAAAAGCTTTATTTATTTGATGGGTACGCATTGTATAAGCAATTAGTACTTTTCACCTCATTCACGTTACCTCAAAATTTACGCCAAACGTTGTCTAATCAAATACGAATAACCCTTTTCCCTTGAAATTCTCATTTATAACATGTTTAATTGATAAAGTACGGCTTAGAGGATTAACTTCGTTAACCCGTTCGAAACTTTTCTCAGCTTTTGATTCAACAGATTACAAGCTTGCGAGTAAAAGAGTAAAACTTTCAGGAGATGAATACGACAGCGGAGAGAACTTCCATCGCGACGATCCTCAGATTGGAGTTTGTCTGGAACGTCTCTGGTAAGATCAAAGTTTTTGCTGAATCCTCTTCCCCGGCCGTGACCAATGTTTTCCGTGATTTTACAACACCAAATGATGGAAGGAGGGTACTATTTTGGAGTGAAATAATTATAAAACAGATTTTGGAGAGGCTCTTAAACGATCTTAAACGGGGCTATGCGAACACTTGTCTACCCTATTCACGACCTCGGTCGCGTATGGCGACGTGCTTTGCGATTTTGTCGGTCAAGCGAACAATTTTTACAGAATCAGTTGTTTTCCCGCAGATGGAGATGAATAGGTATGTACTTAAAGTGTTGAACGCTTTATAGTCAAATGACATACCCTGTTTGAGACGGAAGGCCCTAGAAACCATACTCCGTCCAGTGCATGGCACGTCCTCAATTAGGCCAGATAAAGAAGAAAATGATTTCGAGATTGTTTCCGGACATCTTATAGTTCACAATAAAGCAATGCCAGAGTTACTGTAAGATGGCTCCTGTGACAATCAATCAACTTTTAAGAAGTCAAAGACGAGTTAAATTTGAACCAGTTTTATGATACCAATTAACAAATGGTAAACACCACAGCGTACACTATTGAGTTATGGATGCACGCGGGAGGTTGCTAAGCACGAAAGAAGCGTAAGAGTCGCTCGAGGCGATAGCCGAGAGCGACTCTAGCTTCTTGAGTGCTTAGCAAACCTCCCAAGTGCATCCATAACTCAATAGTGTACGCTGTGGTGTTTACCATTTGTTTTATAACATAACATTGATACATTGTAGCTAAAGAGTTCCCTTTTATTTAACAAATCTTACGTGACCAGAGAAAACAAGTGCGCGCGGAAAAATAGTCTTTGCATTTGCTCACGTCAGCAGCGTACACCCATGGGCAAATGGGGGACGCTAAATTGACCAATCAGAGCGCGCGCTTTACTTTGGTTATGTTATAAAAACAACTGTTATAGGGATGACTGTTGATCCCCTTGGTTCACACAAGATAGGAGGGTAATACAACTGAAAGATAAATCAATGTTTCAGTGACAACTCAGTTCAAGAGCAGCCGATAAGGGAGCTGGTACGAAAATACATCCGCTGTTCATCTAGACTGACAATAGCACAGGTCAAGAAATTCCTTAAAGTGAAGCTTGATCTGAGAACTGCTGACCAAGTAAGATAATGGAAAATTGTGTTTAACCTAAATGTAAAAAATTCCTTTCGAGAGACAGACGCTATATGCACGTATTCCGGCATAAAGGGCTCTTTATTCCTTTGCTTGTGTTATTCCAGGTCGAAGTGATGTGTAATGGAGAAATTATGGGCAAAGATCATACCCTGGAGTTTGTATACATGACTAGATGGAGAATAAAGGTGAACTCTAGAGCTCTCCAGTTCTGTTGAAAAACTGATTTTAACATGCATATGACTTCATGGAACCAGTACAGAGTACTTCCACGAATCGCTAAAGTCGCAAGAGTAACTTAGGAACCACCAGATTCGGAATTTTACTGAAAAATTTGTCAAACCATCGATGGCGTTTTATCTTTAGAACGAGGTAACGGTCTCAGAAAACTCTTCCAAACGAATTCTGAATGGAACATACTAAACGCGTTGTTATCAATAGCGTTACTGTTTGGCGGGCAAGCAAGTTTTACGGCAAACTGAAAGACATACGCAGTTCTCAGTATTGTCCTTATAATATTTCCATTTTCTTTTTAAGGAGGGATCTCTCCTCACTCTCCAATACAGACCAAGAATGGATTTTCTTTGAGTGCGATACCAGGTTCCAGTTTCAGCCGACAACAACAACAGCAACAACAACAGTGATGTTAAGTCCAAAACCTCGAAGCTGGTTGAGCAAATGACCTCTGCAGTAGACCATAAAAGCCGAAAAAGTTCAACAGAGTGTACTAAAATGACCTTAATATATTAAGATTTAAAGTACTGTAAATATCAATCGACTACAGTGTAAAATGAAATAAGTAGTTCCCAAGAACTTGAATAAGGTTTTATCTCTTGAATCAGGAGGACCTTATTTGATGAAAACGAGTTGATCTATTGGAGAAGGAAACTTCGTAAATGTCCTGATATACCCTCGTTCGCTGTTTGCGCCATCAACGCGTACACAATGATACATGGCCACTTTTGAGACTTACAACTCCACTGAGATCTTTCGCGATATTAACCAAATCCCGGTGGATTAAAATCCTTACGCTAGAATCAGTTAGTGGCAGATTGTGCACTGATTGTACTAAATTGAATAGTAGAACATGTAAAAGCACGCTAAATTAATCTTCCACAAAAAGATAAATATTTTGTAAAAAAGACTGCGCGTGTCGATCGTTGTAAGTTCAATAAAAATAAAGTATTATCGTTTGTCTTACGATGTGGTCACTTGTGATGTGAATCGCATAGTGAATCACTTATGATTCACATCATAGGTGACCACATCGTGAGACAAACGATAATACTTTATTATTATTAAAAGGATAAATAACTGATGGGAGATTTTAATAAAAATTTTTTTCGAATGTTAAGTGTCATTAGCACTTCGCGTAAGCTCTGTAATATTTTGGCGTGTTGCAAAGGCTAAAATATTCAGAGATTGGAAATAACCTGACGCAAATGGGAAGAAAGGCTAGAGCACTGCACCAACTGCTTTAATTACCGACGACAGGTACCATTCTGTTCAAATCTGGCGCTCTGCACACCAACTCAAGGAGTAACACTGAGTTGGAAAGTACTGGTTTACCATACTCGACGTAAAAACGTACCTTGGAGACATTTTTACACTGTTAAATCTCCTTTAAAGGACTATAACTACTGATATCTCCGCAAAAATAGAAAACATACTAACTAAGGATGCATGAAGGTGAAAAATATTTAAAGTTTTATTCTTGGCTTGTGATCTTCCAAGTTTTCTAATTACTTGGCCCTGTCACGGCCCCTTCGCTACATCTTTCTCTGATCCTTAACTTTCCATTCCTGCACAATTTACTTCCGTTCCCCCATCTTTATCCCTGTCTCCCTCTTTCAGCCAGTCTTGTAAACTCCTGGTTTCGTCACGTTTGGTTCATAAGACCAACGCATGAAAAGCATCTTGACGCAAACCTTTCCTATACCCTTCACTTCATTTCAGCTGATTTGCCATGATGACGCGTCGTCCAAAAGATTCAGCACAATTCCCTCAGCTGTGTGAACACCAAAAGGCTTCTACTTTGATTTTCAAGAGGGAGTTTGATCCTTTTCAATGTATGGTTTCTTGACGCAAGGTAAAAAAACAATTTTACCAATTTACCTGTTTTACTGCAAATGGAAGTAAAGCCACCTGAACGGTATATATCTTAAATTTTGGGTTGGAAAGTAGGGTGTGAAAAGGGAACTGTGGATGCTTTTTGTCCGCTTTCCCTTACGAAACACTCTTTTTTCCACCGAATACTATACCAAAATGCGTTCCATTTTGCTCGATGAAACAGGATCATTAGAAAACAGAGCTTTATAACGGTTGTAGTCAACCCATTTTTTGACTATTATTCTAAATCTATTTTACATTAAATACTTATATATTATTTGGAGTGCAGTCATTCAGTTTTCTTTTTTAGAAAATATTTTACAAAGTTTTCTTCCTTTATAATTTAGCAATGCTTCTTTAAGTGACGATTTTAAACAATGTTTGGGGGGGGGGGCAAAGTAAAAGTACGAACGAGTTTGGGTTTTGGTCGAGGGTCGAGGGTAAAACGTTGAGGGTCCGAGAAAAATGTCGAGGGTCCATAATAAACTAAAAATCGTAAATTTTAAAAAAATTAAATGTCGTGAAATGTCAGAGAAAACTCAGAAATTACATATAGATAAATTCCAGACATGTTGTGACTTATTGTTTTTGTATACTTTCACGCTTCATTTATACACAGCTTCCACAAATGCACCCGCAACCGCAAATAAATAGATGCCGGCTGATCGAGGTCAAGGTTAACTTTGTGGAAAGCGCGACTAAGCAATTCGTCCATCGAAATATGGTTTTCTCTTAAGCGCCTAAATCTCGCAATTTCTGGGTTTCCATCCACCGTGAAGCCATAAGCGAAAAAACTCGAACTGAGGAACAGCAAATAAAAAATGATTTCGCAATCAGAGATGCGCTAATGGAGGGGCTTTTAGCAACGTCTGACAAAAGATTGACAAGAAAAGCGTACAAATTTTTGTTGTTTGAGTACACTTTTTTGTCATTTTTATCGATGGTGTGTTTTAACATTTGTTCCCTCTGATCCTGCAAAACGTTTTGCACATAACCAAAACTGAAGTTTTTACTGCTGCTGTTTTATTGTAGGTTTAGGCGAATTTGTCATGATTTCACCTCATACTCGGAGTGTTAAGAATCTTCTTCCTCCTGACATCATAATGAACTCGGGCATTTCAATCTGATTTAAAATCTCAGAACTAACCTACCAAGAAATGAATGCTAGCGAGTAAGGAGATTTAGCATATTGATCTTGGAACTCCGTAGAAGGTTCTTGTTTTTACACCACTTTGATTGACAAGAGCTTGTTTTCTTTAAGTCTGCACACGCCTTGTCAAGGATATTTCTGTTTACAGAGTGTCTTCCTCCGTTCCTGGTTTAATATCAGTGTCGACGAGAAAACACGTGCTCTTGCCACTTGCGCTTTTTTTTTACCAATTTTGGTGGATTAACTTTGCTCCTTATTTCCAGGTTTGTTTTTTAGGGCATTATTTGCTACCTATGTCTTCGATCTTTGAACTTGGTCAATGCACGATCTGTCAGCAGCATGGCTTGCAATTTACATTTATTTCAAAATTTCGTTCGACTTGTTCTATCTTGTTTAACACCTATGGTTTGGCATTTTTTGTCTTCTATACGTACTGAGTAGTTTGAAACAAGAAAGACAACGAGCCAACCCACTGGTTTTGGCAGTTTAGGTTTAAGACACAAAACGACCTATGTAAGATTAATTCTTCATTTTACATTTTCTACATTTTCTTTACAATCTTTGTCGTTTGGTTTATTTAGATAAAAATGAATAAACAACTGACGTTCAGAATTCAAGAAGCTGGGTTTGAAGTGTGCTACGATCCTCCCAGGGATGGGGACTGTTTTTGTCATGCAGCTGCTCGTCAGTTGGATTCTAGCTGCGAGGCTGCCAAGAACAAAGTGTTTGAATACTTGAAAAGTAATCGTTTGAATGTGAGTCGTGATTAATTTATTGATCCCAATACTGAACATGTGTTTAAATCGTTGTGTATGTATATATGTATATTAGAGATTTCTTAGATTGACATTCAGCTGCAATTATTGATTGCTTTTATGCAGGCGCGAGGATACGACCGCGACGAAGACCGATTTTTTATTTGCTGTTTCTCAGTTCGAGTTTTTTTGCTTCTGACTTCACGGTGGATGGAAACCCAGAAACTGCGAGATTTAGGCGCTTAAGAGAAAACCATATTTCGATGGACGAATTGCTTAGTCGCGCTTTCCACAAAGTTAACCTTGACCTCGATCAGCCGGCATCTATTTATTTGCGGTTGCGGATGCATTTGTGGAAGCTGTGTATAAATGAAGCGTGAAAGTATACAAAAACAATAAGTCACAACATGTCTGGAATTTATCCATATGTAATTTCTGAGTTTTCTCTGACATTTCACGACATTTAATTTTTATAAAATTTACGATTTTGTTTTTTATGGACCCTCGACATTTTTCTCGGACCCTTGACATTTTACCCTCGACCCTCGACCAAAACCCAAACTCGGTACGAACGATAGACATCCCTCATTATTTATCTCGAAAATATCTCTATTGCATATTTTTGTTGCTTTAATGGTTTAACAGATTTTGCTAAACAGTAAAATCTTTCCTTTTTGTGTTATATGAATTTAAGGTTTTACTTAAATTTAAGAATATAAAGATGGGTTAATGAAGAACTTTCGTTTCAGTCACGAGTCTAGGTTTTTGTGAAACCATATTCGAATATTACCGTCCTCTTTTGGAGTTTTAAGACGGAGATAAATAAAAAATTGAAACGACGCGTGCATGGCGTTTAAGCTAAATATAAGATAGAAGACGAGCTCGAACAGTTTCCATACTCTACATATATATATCATTTAAAAATACCATATAAAGCCTTTCGTTATAAATAACTGTTTTCTCGTGTGTCTAAAAGTCTAATCTTGGTCTGTACTGAAGAATGAGGACAGATCCTTCCTGAAAAGAGGAAATAGTAAAATATCGTAAAGAAATCACAGAGCTGTGCAACTCTTCAAAGACGTCAGGTAAAATTATTGGTCAGTCCTTCTGTTAAACTAAGAGCTATTGAAGTGGGACGAAAAGCAGCCCATTCAAAGTCATCCACAAAACTACAGTTCTGATGCTTTATTTTCATACTCGCTGTATGTTTTCCCTCCGTGAACAAATGTAACCTTAACGAAAAAACTCGATATTTGCTAAACAAAACGGACAATATTGAGGCTCAAGAACTGAATATCGAAAACCGCATTCATTCTCCTCCTTTTTAAAGTAAAATATAACTTCTTTAGGACCTCTTATTGCCGCCTAGAATTATATGAAATACTCCAAAAGTCAACAGGTATAAGGATTGCTCTACTGGTTTGATAATTTCTATCACCTCCTGTGCTTAAAATAAGAGAGAAAACTGCCATTGCCTTTTAAAAAGGTTTGACATTGGCTTTCGAGGCGCACTGCTTCATGTGTGTTACTTTAGAGGGTCTCAATGAGGTTAACTCATAGCTGTAAAACGGTCAAAACATTAAACTGTTATACGTAAAATTGACAAATTTTTAACAGTTAATTTCAAAAAAAGGTAAAACGGATTAAAAATTTATGGTGAAAACAATGAAAAGATATTAACCGTTCGCCGTAAAACGGCTAAAATTTTAACCGTTAGCCTTTAAAAGTCATCATCCCATCGAGACCTTTCTAGAAAGGAACTCAAGTTGACTTGCCTTTACTCTCCACCTTGTCATGTACACGAACTCCAGGGTGTGGTCTTTACCCATGATTTCCCCGTTACACATCACCTCGACCTGAGAAAACATACTCAGCCAGTTAATCAGGAAACTAACTCCGACGAAACATGTTTCTGAATTATCAAAAATTGATTTGACTGGTTTTCTTTGTTTTCAAAACTGGTTAGCCGTTTCCAAGTCTTCCAATACCGATTTGAAACCTGTTAGACCAGTTTCATAAATTCCAAAAACCTCTCAAATCATTTGAAAAATACGGAATCTTAATGAAGCGTCGTCAAAAGTAGCTTTTGGGAGTCGCTAACCTGATCAGCAGTTTTGAGATCGAGCTTCATTTTTAGGAATTTCTTGACGTGTGCTATTGTCAGTCTTGATGAACAGCGGATGTATTTACGCACCAGTTTCCTCACGGACTGTTCTTCAACAGAATCGTCACTAAAAACAAACAAAACTTATGAGCAAGGCGTTCCCTTACTCGTGCCTGTTCGGACAACTAAACTTAAATAGCGGTTACAAATAATAAATCATCAACCGTATCTTTTTCTGGATCAAATTATTGCGATTTAAAGCCCGATATAGGTAAAATTCAGTCAACAAAGGAAGTAACGATAAGGTTGAAACTAGCAAATTGACATGAACCTGCGAAACATACCCAAGACATTCTAGGCAAACTCCGATCTGAGGATCATCGCGATGGAAGTTTTCATCGGTCCCTGATATCTTTATTCGTTTAGCGTCAGGCTCCTCAGTTTCGGAATCTGAAGAGGAGGACAGATTAGAACATGGAACGGTATAAAAAGTGAATTTCTCCTCCCAAATTGCAGACTTTTTTTCAATAACCTTACCAAAAATATATAACAATAGGAATCCTGTTTGTTCATTCGTTAGTGTTTCTAATACAAGCATTTTGTTGCTCGTCGAAAAATGAGTCGGATTGTAGGCCAAAATTGCCGAGTTCGACATAAATCTCAGAGAGCTTCCTGTTATTTGGGCTATTTCACGTCACAAGTAGTCGTCTAAAAACCTAAATAATTACGAAAAATATTACCTTGAGATCGCTTCATATCTACCATTTCCTTTGCTTTTACTATGGTATCGCCATTGCGCTTACAAAACTCTCTTTCACGTTTTTGTTCACCTAAAAAACAACCGGAGAAGGTGTCAATTTTGGATCAACGTATATGAGCTACTACGCACTGTATCCTTCCCCTAACACAAAATCGACCTTAACTTGATATCAGTTGACTGTTGTTGATTTAGATACCAAATTGATCCATTTCAAGTACTACAACCGTCAACATTCAGGGTTTTTTTTTTTTTTTTTAAGAAAATGCCACAAATCCATTGAGAAAGCTCTGGTCAGAAGAGAAATGATTAATCTGAATCACTATTATCTCTAATTTTAAGGAGACAGTTCCAAAAACCGTACTAAGCTTCACTATAGTTCGTTTCTTATACAAATGACTGCTACCTAGGTACATTTGCGGCATGACCACCCAATCCTGATAGATGTATTTCTCTTTAAAACGTTATGACGAGACAGTGTTCGCCACAACTAGAGAAAGTTTAAACTCAAGTTCGTTGCATTACAAAACAAAAGTTTTGTTACAAGACCCCCACAATTTAGAAACTCAAGATACATAAGTATTAACATTGATTAATGGTCATAGCTTACTTTCTTGTAGCTTGGGAACAAGCTTGTGAATAACATCCTCTAATGTTTTGTCGGACCTGTGGATTGTAAATAAAAGAGGCCGATGAACTCCTTTCTTTTACTTACAACAGCGACCTTAAACAATCTGGGACAACGATGGCAGCGAAAACTTAGCGAAAAGGCGGGGGATTTCACCTTCATGACCTTTAACGGTCCAGTACATTTTAAACTTATACGGTTCGCTCTTGATTTATAGGCTAACAGTTGATTCGAGCGTCGCCCGTATCAATTATCAAGCGATTGAAATCTCGGCGGAGCTCATTATCCAATTTTTACATGCGAATCTAGAGCCGTGACCAGTTGGAGAGTTTATTTTTCCTGCTAAGGCTGAGGAGGTGTCGATGGGGATCTCCCGTGCTGGTGAGGATAGATGATTTCTACTTCTGCGTTGTTGTAATATTAAAGACTTTTTGTGCAAGCTCTTACGTCGGAATAAATTATTCAAACAAATGCGCCTGTGAACACCGTGACAAGAACATTTATACCTCTTTTACTGACCAAGTTCGAAGTCCGTACAATAATTGAAAAATTATTGACCGATCAATCGTAATCAACACACTAATGAGAGATGTGATAAGAATGTACTACTGAGTGTTACACTAAATACCTGAGCATTTCAAACGGATTGGTCTCATGAACGAGAATCGAGCAATTGGGGCATCTATTGTCGCCGCTATCTTGAAAGTATTTCACGATACACGATCTGCAGACTGTCCGACAAAAAGATATAAAAGATTAAATGGTTGATAACAGCTAGAAAATCAATTTAAAAAGAATCGATCTAAGAATCAGGAATCAATCAATGAATCAGGAATTACCAGGTAGTAGAGATTTCAAAGTAAAAAAAATCTGAGGTTGGGAGTCACTTCGCATGGAAGCTGATCAGAATGGTTTTCACTTGCGACGGAGTCGTAGTCGGAGTCGTAATCAGAAGCGTGGAGCGATACGATCCAGTGAAAATCAAACCGACGGAGTCGGTAGCAGAACACCGATTCTGCCTTTGACCCCGTTGCTTACGATCTAGTGAACACTGCATTGTCGGAGTCGGAAGCGTAAGCGAAAGAATAAACAAATCACAATCCTCGATTCCATCTTTCCAAAATGCACAAATAGCCGTAACAAATTTAAACGTGTGAGCTTGACGGTAAAATTACGAAATTAAAAGTTAGAATACTCGAACTGATCCTACCGAAAGTACGATTCACGATCACCAAGTCGTAGTTCGCTGACGAGGTTAGCATACTCTTCGTAGGCTGCTCGACGTCGATAGATATCACGAACCCAAAATTGCTTTCTTTTTCGAACGATATTATTCCTGCATTGTCTCTGCCTGCGCAAAATAAAGATTAATAAGAGCCAAAGTTGCTCTTCGTCCGCCATATTGTCTTTGGTGCCAAAATTTGTACTTTCGCGGGCATGGAATCGAGCATTTTGATTGGTTTATTCTTCCGCTTCCGACAATGCAGTTTTCACTGGATCGTAAGCGACGGAGTCATAAGCAGAATCGGAAGAAAAATGGGAACGTTCTGATTCTTCCGACTCGGATTCCGTCGAGCTTATGACTCCCCTTACGACTCCGTTTTTCGATTTTCACTAGGTCATAAGCGCTCTTACGACTCCGACTACGACTCCGTCGCTAATGAAAACCAGCCTTAAAGCAACAAGATAACTGCTCAACGATACGTCTGGATTCTAAACTTGGGTAATTGTTTCTTCTTCTTTCATAGGAAAGTAGAAAGGAAGACTGGAGAAAACTTAATCAAAAATTATAATTGGTAATGGAATGTCAGTGGTAATTGAAAATTAGCGTAGTCCTGTAATGAACAATTGCGCTAAAGAGTAAAGGCGTAAAAACTCTTAACTTGTCTTGTTTACTCAAGAACGCACCGGTAACTACTTTTTTTAAAGGGTGTTTTCATGCCACGACTAAGCACTTACGACACTTCAGGTAAACAGAAAAACATGAATTTCCCCTATTGAACCAGAAACTGACGAGCGAGTCTGAGAACACAATTATAACTGCAATTCATTTTATCTAACAACGTGTATTTCACAAATAAATCCGGCGCTGAAACGGGATAGAAAGGAGATCAATTAAAAAGATTGCTTAATTACGTAAACATATTTTAAAAATCAGTCAAAAAGATAACGACCTACTTGCTTAGTTTCAACTTAAAAACTTGACGATTTAAAGATTTGAATGATAAATTTCAGTGGAGTGTCGACTATAAAAACTGAATTCCCCATTCAAATTGAAGAAATGTTTCAGTATCACAGCGCTGCTAATCTGTTGGAATTGAAATGTGTATTGCCTCTGGTGTATTTTAATATTTTCCGAAAACAGAGCATTGTATGTCATTTGATAAATTGAACCGTTTCAATCCATCTGCCTTGTGACGACGCAGAAGTGTCTCCGGTTTACTAGCGCGGGCTCTCTGCTAAGTGTTATAGAAACCAGACACAAATGTTGGTTGTAATTATGACTTATCATTCTTCACTGTCTTATCTAACACAATTATCCTGAAGGCATTAACAGCAGGCCGTCTTATGAATAATTCCTTCTATCAAGTGGCCGTAGCATTTAAAACGGATGGATTTCAAACTCCGCTTTAAACTACCAGAAAGGTTGATATTAAAGACTGTTTACCTAAACAAACGATCCAGAAGTAAATAAAAAGCTTTTGATGCGACAAAAGCAACCCCTTGAACACTTCATCTTCGGAAGTTAAACTATCAATGAAAATGGCCGTCTATGTGAAACTCGAGCAGATGTTTCCTATCGGTTTCTACTACTGAATTGCAGTTTCGCAACACGTAGAGAATATAAACTGACAGGCTGGTATTAAAAACTTTTTTTTATGTATTTCGACCCGTATTCGTGATCAAATCTAGATGCCGACTGGTATTTCGGCTTGTGAATAACCAGAGACAAATAAAACGAAATGTATTTTTAAGATCGCGCACAAATCTGCCGTTTGAATAGACAAATCGTCGCGTTTATAATCCGCGGTACCTACATGTGTGAAGACACTCTGTGATCGTCGTTGGCTTGATCAAATATCCACTGCAAAGTTCGCAGGTAATGAACGAGTTCAGATCTTGAAGCTTGAGTTTTCTCTCCCTGTTTGACTGAGAAAGATTTGTACCAAATTAATTACAAAATAGCCTTCGACATTTAGAGATACGTCAAAGGGCTTTAAAACGAACAAGTCTATCGAATTTCCGAAGCAAAACTTTCATTGATATATCTATAGCCTCTGGTAAACAGGTGTTTTTAACATAAGCAAGCAACCACAGCGATCGATATAACATATTTTTAACTGCATTGTCTTAAAATTCTTAACCTCATGATTAATACAGAAGCCGAAATTCAAAAGCTTTTTTCTCTATAATTTTATTTTCAAGCAACTTATTATATTTTGACACTGAAGGCAAACGAAACAGCTTCGAGTCCCCCTAAAAAAGCAAATTATCATTTAATAACGGCGTGTTAACTTCACTTGAAGCTAACAATATAACTGATGCCATAGACTTGTACCATCCTGGTTGACAGTAGTAAAACATTTACCACCATTTAACGTCATTTGCTTGACGTAGATTTCAAACATCTGACTGAAATAAAGGAAGTGTTTTGCAATGACATAATTAGCATTGAGCTTTCACGAAACTGAAGAAAAAATTACAAGCAGGCGGGCAGTGAACCGATGTCTTTCCTTTCATCGAAAGTGTGTTATACCTGTTTCACACAAATTCCTGTTTTAGAACTGACGATGCAAACAGACTGAAGGCTATCTCAACAAAACAACATTAGTCCAGTTATGCGAGGCTCTCGCACAACTTATGACTTCTTGCCTGCATTAGATATAAATTTTTGGTTTGAAATTGTACCTTTACATTAACTAAACGAATTCATAACAGACAGAAGAGTAACAAGTACTAATTAAAATGATAACGTTAGGAATTGACTCAATAGTGTCAATACTCACTTGAAGAACAGCCATTTGAAAGTAGACCGTACAGTATTCTTTCTCACAGTTCTGCAGTGTTGTTGCAGCGAACGTCAAAACGCGCGCATACGTCTTCTAGTCACGTGGTCGGCAGTCTCGAGCAACGAAGTTTCCCGTATAAGGAAACAAAGGAGCCAATGTCAAAGCGGGAATTTCTTTTCAGACTTAACAGCTGAACTGTCTAAGTGATTTACGTTTGAAAATTAATTTACAAAAACTTTCTCGCAAATCAACTCACCATGCTACTTGTTAAACAAATGAATTGAAGCCCTTTCAAGTTCCGTTGCTACGCTACTGGTGCAACTTAAATATCTAATGGCTTTAAATATTACAGCCGTTTCAAACTGTTTATTTACTTTTATCATCTATATTTTAAATTAAGAAATACCATTTTTTGAAGAACAATATTTGTAAAAGAGCAGATTCTTGATAATGGAAACTCTAGAAAGTATGTACGTATTTCGTGAATTTTTGTGAAGAGCTTCTGCTCATCTTAACAACTTCGCAAATGTCAAGAACATTATAAAACATTTATTGAAGCAACATATTTACAGGTGATAATTAAAACAAGAAAAAAAAATGACCTTTTAAGTGGTTGAAGGGAATCGCTCGAACCAACATATCTCAGGAATACTGGTTTCTTTTATTAAGATACAATACTAAATCATAAAAAGGATCGCCTTAGAACGTTTCCTTTAAACTCTACAAGTCAAAACCCTTCACGGGAAAATAGCCTAAAGGCTGCTGCACTTAATTGGATAGTTTTCCCATTGCAACTCGTTTGCATTGCAGGTTTCATCTGTCACATGCAATTTTACACAAACCTAAAAATTTCTCCAATAATGGTTGTTAAACTTTATATAGTAATTAAGCCGTGCAGACCTGAAAATATCCGGCTGCTGCACTTAATTGGATAGTTTTCCCATTGCAACTCGTTTGCATTACAGGTTTCATATGTCACATGCAATTTTACACAAACCTAAAAATTTCTCCAATAATGGTTGTTAAACTTTATACCGTAATTAAGCCGTGCAGACCTGAAAATATCCGGCTGCTGCACTTAATTGGATAGTTTTCCCATTGCAACTCGTTTGCATTGCAGGTTTCATATGTCACATGCGATTTTACACAAACCTAAAAAAATTTCTCCAATAATGGTTGTTAAACTTTATACAGTAATTAAGCCGTGCAGACCTGAAAATATCCGGCTGATCAAGGCTTGCATAAGCAATGAGTTTATTTGTACCTCAACTAAAAAAATTAAATTTCGTAACATGATCAAGGTCACAAAGTAAATTCAGATAGTAGGGTTTCGATCGAACGGGGTGAGTGGGAAAGTTGAGTAGGTGAAGTCAAGTTGTGATCATTTACAAACGAAACCCTATATTTGACATAACAAGTTCTCGTTCCATTAGTAACAAGGAAAGTGTCTTTTAATGGGTTCCTCTTCAAATTTTAACTGAATATGCGTACTATTGTGTATTATTGTGTACTATGAAATCAAGCTTACTGAAATAGTAAGCTTACCTCACTCTTGTATTCGCTCTCCGATAAAGCGCGTTGTTTCAACCAATCAAACTTCGATTAACATCGAAACATTTTTGCAAATAAAATCAAAATCTTCGATACTCAAAACTTTCAGTTCCTGACCTTTGATTTATAAAACTGATCTCTGGAACACGTGCCTGATGCTATTTCAGATCCCTTGTAAGAAAAGTTTTTTGAGGGATGAAGTATCTTTAGCACTTCATCATCTCTTCTACAGTGTAACTTCACGAAAAAGAGCACGCCGTACAGTCACTCTAAAGGACAGATTGATTTTTTTATGTCTGTAATTCATGATCAGAGCGTTGACAAATTGCAAACAGAATATAAGAGAGTAAACGCTCCTGCGGTCTTAATGCCGGAAACTTTCCATTAACCTGCTTTAACTCCCAAGAGTGACCAAAACAGAATTTCTCCTTACAATATCAACACAAAATAAAGCAGACAAGTGATGAGAATAATTCACGAAACATAACAATCAGGGGATAATATAGTTGATCCGATACCAAACTCTCCGAATGAACACCATAAGATTTGTTTGGCAGAATAGAATTGGCAATGAAATCTTGGGAGTAAAAGGATTAACTTTGAATTAAAAATAAACCGTTAAATTAAATGAGTTTCAGGCGAGTCTTTTTGCTCCTTCATGCGGAATTTATTCACATCTCTAGGTTTTATTCTTATTCCATTGCTTACCCAAGCATTTTTTTTTTAGTCAGATTCCTAACTGAATTTATTTCCAAGAGGTGATAAACTGAAAGACAGCGTTGATCGGCAGGTAGTGTAGAGATCAGTTAAATGAAATAGCGGAGATCCCGAGCCCTCCACAAGGTCTAACATTTCATTTAAAACTGAATTGTTCAATGTTGTCTTTATTTTATTCGCTTTATTACGTTTAATGCCATGTTGCCGGTACCGCGATTTTTCTTCGAAATGTGGCCGGACAATTTTGAACGGCCGGTTCGAATTTACAATTATTAGAGCTAAAATTACTCCCGGGAAATTCTTACGACTCATATATTAGTATGGAATTAGCAATTCTTCTTCAGTTTTGCGAATGAAATATAAATGAATTTCAAATATGATTAGACGCTTAAAAGTAAAATTCATAATAACATAGAATTAAAAAGACTTGCAACTGGAGCCGAGTAATTATCAAAATTCACGAACGGTCATTCTGTTCAAAAGAAACTGAAAATTTTTAAAGTTTTCAAGAGTTTTTGTTCATGAGATTTGTTGAACATAAAACTTAGTGACTGCATCTTCTTTGTCAAATATCGTGATATTTTCCGAAGCGAAGGTAAATATACTTTATATTTGCCCTCAATACAGACGTTTCCGTAATTAAGCAGGCGAGAGCGGGGCAAATGATAGGCCGTAATTTCGTTGCATGTTGTATCAGAAATTTTCTTCGTACACAAATTGGATTCTCTGATAATCACCACGAATTAATTCTGATGGAACCTCAAACGTCACAGATTAACCCCAACCAATTGCAAGACGAGAATTTAACTTACTTAGTAGGCACCGCGGGAAATAAGAGACAATCTACAAAACATTTATCAAAATCACTAGAAACTTTGAGTTCCCATGGAGCAGGAGAACCATTAAGGCTAATGGCAATCAAGCATCTCTAATCAGTGAAATCTGTGCTTGTTCTCAGAATCTTATTTCGCTTTACAACTATTTACTCTCACTAATGTAGGCTTTTATGGGTACAAGCCAATGTTTGCTAAGGGAAATGGAGTCAATAGCAGATGTGGGAAATCTTCTCAGTTTTGAGGAGCAATCTTTCCTGAAAACCACCATTGTTAAGGAATTTCGCTTTCATTTAATTAGTGAGTTATTTCCAAGACTTATAAATAACGATTTAGACGCTGGTTATCCTTGCGAGCACAATGCGATAATAAATTCACTTTTGAAATATTAATGAAGCAAACTAAATATGATGAAAATTTTTGAAGTCATCTCTCTTCGTGAACCGAACGTCTACATAAAGTCAATATTGATATTCCTATTGCATTCTGTGTCATTGAGTTAAGATTAAAGTTTCTTCTTACTGCGTTCAAACAGACAATGCAAGGAGCTGTTCATATTTGTGTTACTTTTGGTTTGCTATGATTGTGCCTAATCTGGCTCCCGAGTATTATTAATAATAACTAATCAACAAAACAACCAAGGTTTCCCAGACTCCCCGTTTAGTGCGAATAATTACAGCATGAAAATGTTGATTGTCTGCTTAAGGCGTTTTGTATTATTGTACGATTAGTATACAACGACGATTACTTAACAATTTGAGAGAAGTGCTATATTTTGAATTGGTTTTGAAGTGGTGAGACCTCCAGGAAACCGTCGCTTTTAAAATTCGACGCGCGTCAGTCCATTAGCAAAGAAGAAAAAGTACTTAATCGGTTAAAGACATAACAAGAGAGATACATGAGAAAATTAGATAAGTCATTTCCCAATGAAGCAAGATGGAAAAGCTTTAGTTGCTTATTAAAAATGTATAAAGCTAGGAGTAATAAGGGGTCAAAAAACCACTAAAGACTTGTCATTGTCGATGAAAACTCTCGAAAGGAACATTTTAGTAGTAATTGGAACACCACGACCTTTAAAAAGGTTTCTGTTTTGCGCTTTGAAGTGAAGTTTCACTCAAGAAGTTTAGAGAAGTTACCTTACATGGCTTTGTTATAACCTTCGTCTAAGGAAGTACTCTTTTCAAGGTAACGAGCTAATTTCTTTTACGTAACCAACCTTCGAAGTCCACCCGCGCAGTCTAGATTGTCAGTTGCCGAAGTTATTGTCAAACAAACCAACAATGCAAAAGTCCAGCGCATCAGAATCCATACCAACTTCTGCAACACACCATACTCGAGAAGAAAATAAGCCTCGCAGGTCTCCTCCTCCTCTTGTGTCTATGGACGGAACTCGTAGGGACTCGCTGGTGGGGCTTCAAAGACTTGTTTACAGCTCACAAATATTTACACATTCACGAACATCGCACGAGGATCCCCGCCCTGTTGCGAACATTGGCGAGAACATGGTGGAAGTCAAACCAGGTAATATCTACCTTTTCTGACTTTTTAAGGCCACTGAATGTTTAGCAGTAGTTAAAGTTATTTGTTTCGTAGCCGAAGACAATTTTAAAAGCATCATTACAGATTAAAATGGAGTTACTTCCTTTCGGAAAAGAAGACAATTGTAATTAAAATACACTCGCTTGGGGAAGTCCTCATCCAAATAGATGAAAAAAAAATAGAAAAGTTTTAGGAAAAATTATCTTGAAAAAAATATTGGAATTCTTTTGTGTCTGTCTTTATTACCATTATTTATTGTGCTACTAAATTATTCATGATTTGTCGTAAAGTAATATTTTCACCCAGCATGAAATCATCATTAAGGTTTTAATCATTCTACAAGAGGTCTTGGCTGCGCGATATTCACTCAGCGACACATTTTCCCGCGACAAAGCCATAGGACGATATCTTGCTATGGTGGTTTATGGCATAAAAATGGAATATGTGATCTTCACGATAACACAAAAATCTTGAACGCTGAGGTTTCTAAACTAAAACTACAATAAGAATTCAAACGTGGTTCTTACTCTCTTTGTTCCTCGAAGTTAGTAATCAAACCCGAAAGAGAAAGAAAGATAATCTGCAATAACCGAGTCAAATATGGACTTGTGTTTCTCTGTCGGTCTGATATCTAATGGCTGGCACATCACGAATAAGGCAGGAAACATTGGTAATTATTTGTGTCATAAATAAACGATCTTCGAATTGAAAAAAAATAACCGTGGAAGAGGAAATATTGTGAATTTTCTAAAAAGGAAGACGTGCAACTTTCTAATGTACAAAAATTGGACAAAATCCTAAAACCCTGAATTAACTGATTGATAACAGCAAAGATCTTTGAATTTTTTTTAAGTATAAAACAGAAAGAACACTCCCACGATGTAAGAGTTTCCGAGTCTGAATACTGAATGCTCTAGCGAATTTTCGCAAACGCGAAAAAAGAGATGCCACGATGTTGACTTTTCACCCTTTCATGGAGAGGTATTTGCTATGAAAAATGAGGCGTTGCCACTGGTACTACAGCTTTTGAGAACCACTCTTGTTAGATCAGTTTGAACTTCTATCGCAAAGATCACTAACCATAACTTCGTAACCCTCGATTCCAGTAGGTTTGTGTAATTTGCTGAGTGATATTCTACAAATTAGTAATTTGCTGATTGATATTCTACAAAACGAAATACAGTGTCGTGTTCCTGGGATCTTTCGAAATCAATACTATTTAGATAATATCAGTAACTACTAATCGACTTAAACATAAAAAAATCTATAAAGAGAAACCGCTCAACAATCCGTTCCCTTTCGCTTGTAATATATAATGTTATGATAAAGGATAAGGGAGAGCACTTCGATTGCGTTTCTTGGAATCATTACAAAGTAATCATGGCGAATTTATCGTAGACCAATCAAAATTAAGGCAAATGTCACCAGCAGCCACTATGACGTCTAAGTAACAGGTAAACTGCCCAAAGCCCGGGAAAACGCAAATGACCAATTATTGATTGGTTGAGAGCGTGATACGTGTTTTTTTTTAGACAACTACAGCGCGTCGTAAAGCAAATCCTATACAACACCGCACACCTACGACATCCAATTCGAAATTTCTCTAAATGTTTTGCCTGCCTATATTTTTAGGCCCAAGACCTGCTCATTCCCAGACCCGACCTAGTCTCCCCAGCCCAAAACCCAAGAGAAGCAGGACTTCGTTCACGCCGACGCAGTTAGAGCGACTTGAAGAGGAATTTTCAGTGGATATGTACGTGGTTGGTTTAAAGAGAATGAAGCTGGCAAACGAGTTAAGCCTGTCGGAAAGACAAGTTAAAGTCTGGTTTCAAAACAGGAGAATGAAGTACAAAAGGGAGAGAGCTAAGTCCAGATCAGACGGAGGAAAATGAACTAAGCGGTGTCAACTGTTCGCTACTAGTTCTACCATATTCAACTAATAATCACCATGTAAATACCTTATATTACATAAAATATACGGCGCGTGTTACCTGAAGCGTGCAGTTATAACGGATCGACTTTCTGACATTTTCTTCGATTTTTGCTCATATTTCTTGATTTATTACAAAATAGAATTATGGGAAAAACTACTAAGTGGAAAGAAAGTCACATTAAAAACTGTATTTCGTATATTAACTGCTACTACTTTACTGTCAGCAGTTCTTACAAAAGTATAACTACGTTTAATCTACACTCGCAGGACAAGCAGAGCTGGCTCAAAACACGCGACGTAAATGGGCGCTTTTCTGCAAACAGTAAAGAAGTTATGTATTGTCATGCCACCGCCCCTGCATTTTTCCTGGGGACGACGCACATAAGCATTAGTTAACCGTACAGTAGTCCGTTCTTGATTAATGAATCACGTTTGATTTACAAAAAATCACAAGCAAACAATAACGCAAGGGGGCAAGCACACCACCAGCTAGTTATCGATAGCTACATCGACTACCCTCTGAGGGATGACGAGAGCAAAATGTATTTCCCACAATAATTTTTTTCGTATTCTTTACGAAACAAACCACTTGAGAACGTCCGTCTATATGTTACTAAAGATGCAATCATTAATACGATATGCTTTTGTATGCAAAAATTGATTTGATTCAAATGCCTAAAAAATGTTGAGTTGAGCAAATACGACAGCTCAGCCGCCGATCATCACTGTTCATGTAATATTATTCCAGTTTCAGTACTTCAAAGTAAAATAGAAGCAATACAATAATTATCTTACTCGTCATATAAATTACAGTACTTCATTGAAATACATATTGTTATATAAACCCACTTCTCTTTAAAAATGTACCAATAATTCGTGCACAAAAACTAAACTTCCTTCTCCACTAGTCAAAACCCTACGCTTGTTTGAATCTGTACGATGATTGAAGGGGTAGAAGGTGTCACAGCGACTTGAAAGCTGTACACACCAACGACAGAGCTGAATAACGTATACGCATGCGTTAGGTTTTGCCGCGGAAACACGGACTTTGAGTCGTTCGCATGGTTGATTTCCTACTCTGTTGCTTTGAGGCGTCGTTTTCCTTGCCGCTATTCTTTTACAGAACAACCTTCAATAACTTGGTACACCCCCTAAAAATTTTCAAAAATGAATTTTCTCCTTAAAACCTCTGGAAAGAGGAAAGTGCTTTCGACGAAAACAGAGTTCCCAGGTTTTAAAAGTCAGCCCTTATTATTTTTCACTAGTTTCGCTAAATTTTAGACCTAGGACTTTTGAGCCCGCGTTGTTGACCACATGCCCTCTGACGTAGCATTTCATTATTCAGCTCTGTCCACACCAACCTAAATCTCTCTTCTATCTGACATCATTGTATCAAGCTGAGTGCAAAACTGGATCCCAAAGACTTTTGGAACAGTTTTAATATAAGTCTCCGAATCTGCTTCACAGCAAACTGTACTGGGACCAACCCCACATGGACACACATGAGTTCAAAACAGCGTATAGAGCTTGAAGGGGTTGATGGGAAGCATCGCTTTGTTAAGTCCCTACAAAAGCGAAGAAAATATGGATAAACTTCGGTATCTGAGCAACTGAGCACCTACCCCTCCGCTAATCTAACAGCAGTCAAATAACAACAAGTCTAGGTTAATTTTGGGTCAGGGGAGGGGTAGGTACGCATTTGCTCGAGTGCCGACATTGATCCGAAAATGTCACCGTGACAGATGCAAACACTTCTCTTTCTCAAAATCAAACCAATTTCAAATGAATGAGACACCATCCAAATACTTTTGAAACAGTTTGTGGAAATCTTTGTCCTTGTGACGGAAATTTTTCCCCGAAAAAACGTGCTCAAGTATAAGCTGGTTTGAATCTTTACGGTGATTTTGACGATAAAAAGAGTTGCAGCGACTTGGAACTTGGAAAGAGTGCGGACCAAGCGGTTTATCGCAAGGACTCGGCACCTCGGACACAATGCAGACACAATGCAGCGACAATACTAGCACAAAGCAGAAACAATGTTTGCACAAAAATGTTTAGAGCATTGCTGACAATCACCTCTGGTCACAATATTTCAGTGGTGTCTGGCATGTTCAACAAAAGACAAAAACAACATTGGCGCAAAAATGCGCATTACTTCAAGACTCACTTGTAGTAAGCGCTCGACAAAATTCCTGTTGGAGAGGAGCCGACTCGGACTGATAACGAGCAATTCACTTGCACAGGGTTCCCATTGTTGTCTTGGAACCACAAACAATAAGTAAACAGGAAATCTCCGTCGCGGACAGCTATAAAATGATGACCTAAAAAGGAATTGCTGATAGTAGAATTATTCGCATATACTTTAGCGATCGAGGTAATACCTTTAACAATGAGAACGAACCTAAATAATTTTCAGAAAAAAAGTTTGCTTAAAAAAATACTTCTCGAGGAAGTCAACAAAAACAAACGAAGAGAGCCCCACACAGTTGCAAAAACGACAAACTAGAAGTGAAATTGCTGGTTTCACTAAAATACCGTTTCAGGTTTGTTCGTTTGTTCGGACATAATCGCATGCACTCTTAACCCTACAACCCTATTTCCGTCAGCTGGTGGCGAGAATTCGGTTGTACCAAAAGAACGTACACAATAGTAGCATGTGAAGAAATTATGCATATTACGTATCTTGCAAGGGAAATGGGCAAGATAGAAGACACGAAGAGGAAAAATGGCAGAAAACACTAAAAAAAACCTTGGCTCGCTTTTCTGTAGAAAAAAAGGGATTAAAGTGCGCACTAAGAGCAGTGCGCACCTTTTTGATAGGGCATGAGCCGGTACGTCACTCCCTTGTGAAATCATGTAGAGGGGAGGTTAACCACCACTCATGTTAAACAATTACATTTCTTCTCGTGTTTTTTCTTACCGCGTTGTAAGTAAGACTGCACATACGTCCACATATCCCAAATTTTCTGTTTAATAACATGGCTCGGGTTGCGAGGGTCCCGGATCTTGGTGGATTTTGTGTTGATGGTAGGTGCGGTTACTTGGTCCACACAGCGGTCCACGTGAATGAAATGTACGAGACCCGGAAACTCCTCAAGGTAGCAGAAAATTGTCAAGAAAACTACGCTAAAAATTCCTTAACCAAAAGAGGTTTTGAGGCGAGAAATATTCTAGAGTACTTTCCTTTGAAACAAATACTGACCGTTGATAAACAACTCTACAGCATTCCATACAAAAGGTTAGTAGCTTGCGAACCAAGCACAGGGAAGTTTGATTAAGTATAACTTGAGGATGCAAAGGATACGCAGTCATCGTCATATTCCTCTGTCCTTTGACGAGCAGATAATCTTCGTAGTCTTTTAGCCTTGTTTGAAGCAACTCTTTGATTTGTGAGATGGTTGCTAAGAGCTGCTGACTTAACGAAGGCTCTCCCTGACTGGTACAGAACAAAACACTGAAGAGGGACTTTAGACAACGAGTCATTTCCGCTACAGATGCCTCCAGCTGTGGAGACATCTCAACACCCATTGGTGCAGCGAGAAATCCTAATAAATCACCTCTTTTTACCAACTCCCATCGATGGCGCAGGGTCCGAACTTGATTCTCGACAGCAACCTGAAATAAACAGTTAAATGCAACAGTCAACGCAAGATTATCATGAGTCTCAAAACGCCATGAACATCAAAAAACACTTTCTGTAACATTGTCGGATTGGAAAAAACATGTCAACTAGGCGTGAGAAAATTTAGCTGTAGGCATTGACGCAAATCAGTTTACAGTTTAGTCAGTTTGCAGCTTGCTTACATAGCCTGACCTTCAGCAGCTGAGATCTTACAACAATCGGCTGAATACCTGATCAAACACTTGACAACGAACTGTATCAGAATCCAAAACAAAAAACCATACGAGCCAAAATAGGGCTTTGTAATTACCTTGTTCACTTTCCCCTGGCCTTTTTTCCCCTCACCTTTAAGACTATTTTCAACCCCGATTCTCGAGACCTCGACGGTATTTCTCACTCACTAAACTAAGAAAACGCAGGAATTTCACATCTCATAAACCTTTTTCAGTTCAAGAAACTTAGCCTGTTCCAGGTGTTCACTCCGTTTTGCCAACTGACTGCCTCGAACAGGCTATTAGACACTCTTTTAAAGGTCCTTAACGCCGCACGAGTACGAGCCCCAAAGACTATGTCATTCTTCACGTAAACCGCGCGAAAAAATAGCAACCGTGACCCCTCCCCTGACTTTTTGCCACATGTTGGCAGCACCCTTGATTTCCACGTCATCCTGTGGTAACATGTAAGCAGAATTGGTGATAAACCGAGATTGCACGCACTAGTTGATAATTTGGTCCACTCTCTTCACCTCGGCTAGAGAACGCGTTTGTAAAATTAGAAGTAAATCCATGTTGATAACTTTTGAAGGTTGAAAAGTTGGTAGAAAATTAATAACTTCGTACACGTACCCCCACAGGAGTCCTCATTGATTCAAGAACTCTTTTCACACTTGTTTCCAGTTTCTCCATGATAGCCTGAGCCTGTGTTACCGTCCGCTGGCCCTGCTCGGCAGACGGCTTGACACAAGCCAGAGACTCTAACGCTTGGTAAATGAACAGGGCTATATTGCAATGTTTTGTCTTAAAGAAAAGGAAACTTGCAATTAGGTAGCTTCAAAAAGTTGCATTCGTTAGTGCACATCGAGACTTGAAAGTCTTCTTTACTTGTACTCGTTCCTGGTCATAAACCAAGAAGCTTCCAATTCTAAAGCTTATCCCAGCCTCTAATGCATGAAAGATCTTGGAGCACTGTAGTCTCCTTCGCAGCTTGTTTGGTCACATCACGCAACGCGCTCCCTCCCCCACCATAGAGAGCCCATTGCGTGACAAGACCAAACAAGGGCTGCGAAGGAGACTGGGAGAACTGCTGATTCTCTAGTATGAGATGGTGGTACATCACAGGTTTACTGCCACCATCCCTCCCTTAAAATTTGCAGGTACCTTTCATAATCCTAGGCGGAGAGGGGTATCGTGAAAATTAAGTGTCACCGGCCCTAAAAATAAAATAAAATAAGCCCAACTAGAGCTCGAGCCAGTTCCAATTCAATCCAAAATCTAGCACGCTAACCATAAGAACAACAAATTTCCAAATTTCCTCAAATGATATATTGACCAAGGTCTACTGGGTGTGTTACCACAGACATTTGTAGAATACTTCTCTTCAACTGGAAGTAAACGTCGTACAAGCCAAAAGCTGTTAATAAAGTATCCCATTTATCTTAGAAGTTTTTTTAGTTTATTCTTACTTCACTGACAAGAACCAAAACTGTCCCTGTACCAAGGCGAACAAAGTGAAGAACATGAGGTAAATATGGACATCTATCAGAGCTTAAGAAGACCGGTTGTCGATAATATTCATGTCTTCTGTCCTCATTCTGTATACCACTGGCTGTCTCAAGTTCTTCCTCATCAGTTTCTTCGCCTTCTTCATCCTCTATCTTCATAAGCAATAAAATATTTTTTCTTTTAATATATACATCAACCCATGTTTAGACAAAAAACTAACTCTATAGACTGTACAAATGTCCTAAAAAGAGTCTAAAAAAGATCTCTGCAATTATCCTGTCTCCCACTATGTCAATTGTCTGAACAAGAGTCTCACATGGGCAACCAAACCTACAAAATCAGAAGCTGATCGTGTATGTTACATGTACATCACGCAAAATACACAGCTAACTTATGGCGAATGAATAAAGGCTGATAGTTTCGAAAGAAACTGTTTGGGGCTGCATCAGTGGGGGTAACAAAATAATTTGGATATATCAACAAGGTTGAAATGGTAAATTGGCCACCGTAATGATTACAATTGATTACGATTACGATTGTAATCGTTACGGTGGCCAATTTACCATTTCAACTTTGTTGATATATCCAAATTATAACTTATGGCAAATACAACTATGGCAGGCTCTAATCTGATTTTTAGGGTTTGGGGCAATAATAATTACAATAAAAATTATAATCTACTGATTATATAAATTTACTGAGTTATTTTAATCATATGTTTTAATGCATGATTACAACAATACTGCTCGTTAAGATGACGAATCTCAGATCTATAAATAGAAATTGAAGGTAAAAATTAAAATATGAAACTGACTAGATAAGAAATGTAGAAATATAAGGCTTGTAAATACAGAGATGAAGAATTAAAAACCTCCAGAAAAAAAAAAGGGATCTTGATGGCTTTCTTAAAACTACTTATTGATACAATGTTCTTATTAAATAGAGCTTGGATAAAAGTTTCATAGGTTAGGGGTGGCCAGAAGGACAGAATTTCTCACATCACACTTTGTATAGTTCAAATAATTCCTCCTTCCTATTTTAGAATAGGTACATAAATTATGTACAACATTCTTCTCTTAATACTTGCTATGACAAAAATTATCATTAACACATAGAAATTGAAAGAAAATTTAAAATAGCAATGAAGTTAGATAGTTACAGTACCTTTTTCTTGAGATAATCAGGAGTGCCTGCCCTTGGTGTGAAGAAATGCTCTTTCAATGATAGCGGAGTCTTTGGGGTAAGCCCCTGAGCTGCAGCCTCCTTGCCTACACTAAGTATAGGTGATGATCGAGGAGAATAGAACAATTCATCTTCAACAGATGATCCTGCATAAGCAGCCTCCTCAGGTTCAGCCTTCCTTTGTGGTGGGCTTATATCAACAGGATCTGAGTGCACACGTCCAACTCTTGGATGCTGTTCTCTTACAGCACAGCCATCATCTGTTGAAGGGCCACTAAGAATGTGGTGTGATACTGAAGGTCCACCTTTGCAAAGTACCTGGTGTGCTAAGGGAGGTGGGGTTCTGTTTAGTGTTAGGGGTACAGCTTGTTTAGAGTGTGGAAAGATGTTATATAGCAGAATGGTTATCAAGAGAAGATCTGCAGACCTAAGTTCTGAGGCATTTGGACTGAAATCATAAAAAAACACACTAGTTTAGATATCTTAAAAAAAATTTCAATAGCTATAATTATGTTCTTGACTGAACTGTGGAGCTTATTGCAAATGTACATAGTATTTAATTGATATCCATTCACTGGCAAACTTTATTTCACTTTTTTCCACAGCAAGCTCTTCATCCATGCCAATAATATTTTTCTATTTCCAGCTCACAAAGTAAAAGCCAAACACAATTATAGTTTTGGAGAGTTTGCTGGATGTGTGTCTGGTAAGACAAAAATATTAGAAGCTTTCTATCAGATGAAACATAACTTAAATGTAACAAGTAAGCACACCACATGTTTATAGCTGATACTGCAAAGCTCTTGAGGAAAACCAAAGATCCTTGTGTAATGTGAGAGATCAAATTGTGATGGCCTCTTTATAATTCTTTCTTAACAAGTACAAAAGGCCTTAAGAATGTGTTTCATCACATCCTTCCAACATATCATGTCTTACCCGGAATAGAGTGCAAGTAGCTTTGTATTCACCATAATTAATGAATGCACTGCATTCTGGCCACCTCTAGTCCTTGCCAAATTTAGTGCTTCCTCTAATAAATTAATAGCCATTCCACTCAGGTTCTGGTTGACGTGTAGGCGTTCGACAGCCTCAACTAGAAAGCTTTGTTGTTGCGAGGATAAAAACCCAAATGTGTCGATCAAACTTCCCAAGGTTTTCCAAGCCTTTTTCTGTGCTGATAAAATTTCGGGTTTTAATAGATCAAGAGAAGCTCCATAGTGTAAGGTAGCCAACCTGTATACCACCGATAATTTCCTTTTCAAGAATTCTTCTGACTCTTCGCCATCACCATTGACTGCTGTGAAAACCAGGTCATTAAACTGGAGAGGTTTAATGTAATAGATATCAAATCAGAAACTGTAAATGGAGTATGCAAGGTGAAATCTTCAAAATGACATGTTGCACTTGAATCATCTTCTTAAGCTGAGAGTGGCATAACTAAAAATTGACAGTGAAATACTATCTTAAAACTGTTCAATAATCTTAAACAAAATTGATATAGCTGTAAATGCATATTGAAACAAGTTTATCAACAGATAGAGGGTAAAACAGTTGAGACCTATTGTTAGTGTAGTCCTGAAGTTGAATTCAACACCAGGAACAAAGGCAGCAGGCAGCAAAGTTCTGGGTTGAACTTGGGAACCCAAGTGTACAATAATACTCAACTTTTCTGCCTTTCTTTTCTTTATCAAATGAAGTCACTAACAAAATAGTTTCTCTCTACCTCAAGGAATTACATTTGAGGATAAAAAGTGCAACTATACCACTACTTTAATTCATTTTTATCAAGAACTTTCAACAGTCCTCAGTTCAAGATTTTTAGTTTTAGAGGTTCATCATCATCACAACAGCATTCTAGACTAACAGGTAATGCAGTTTAAATAATTTACCTTTGGAAAATAACACTTACTAAGAATACTCATCAAAATACGAACTGTTCCAAAACAAAATGACAACAAAAATTAGCTTGTCATGAACATGAACATCTAATAATTGTGCACCTTTCAGAGGTTGATGAAAAACAAGAGACCACTTAATTGCACTTGATCAGCACTTTTCCTCACCATAGACAAAGCAAATACAGGAAAGACAACATAATTCCTTGCCTGAAGTCAGTACATACCTGACTGAAAACGAACAAAGTGCCATCTTCACACAGAATTGAAGAGTAGGGATTTCCCAGGTCATTCATGTAAGTTAGTGAAGTGATCATTGGAGAAAATATTTGTGACAATGCAGTCATGTCCATCTCATCTTCATTGTGATCATCACCAATGAAGCCAGCATTGTGAGAAAGTTTGTTAACATGCTTGATAAAAGCTTTATCAGCATGGACAAAAAGAATGTCTGGTAAGGAGCTTATGATGAGTACACACTTCATTACTCTGATTCACCCTCCAAGAATTATCGTGATATGCACAGAACTAAATAGCTGAACTTTGTCCTGGAAGGCTAACGGCATAAATCTACATTTCTTCAGTTTCCAGCTGAAATCAAAGTGACATATTGTGCTCAGTTTTTAACATGTACACTACAGAGAACATTTTCATGATCATCATTAGGAAAATTCAGTTAAATTGTATATATCCACAATGCTGAAGATATCACTCACAGTGTTTCAAACAGTGAATCAATGTTACATGCCTAGAACAAGGTTAACACTTGAAGAGCATTTGCAAACTGTTAAACAAGTTCAGTCAAAAAAGTTTTCCTTGATAAATGCAGTGTGTGGAGTTCTATGACAACAATTCTTTAATGATATCAGAAATATACACAATCAAATGTAAAAATAAATTAAGTGTAAAAGCTCTAGACTAGCTTAACCAGACAAAGAAAGTTAACTTTAGTGAGGACACTCCCTCATAAACGACGATTATGCAAAATATGTATAGAGATATATATGGATATAGCTCTTTGGCATATAAAGTTCTACTTTCATGTCCAAATTGAGCACTGTGGGATGAGTCATTGCCGCTAGCATTGTGCATAGCTCACTAGGCTCTTCTAGTTTGAGCACTCTGGCATGGCTTAGACGATACCACAAGTGTGGGATCGTTTGGGGATCCATATCGGTTCTCCCCCATCCTAGCATCAGCGCTGCACTGATGAGGCTCAGAAGGCTGAAACAGTACTGTCTGCAGTTAGTTATATATATATTTAGTATAATTTCAGAGCTGAGCAAAGAGTTTCCAGCAATCTGATTGGTCGAACAGTTCCTTCTATGACGATTTATAAACCACCCCCACACGGTTTCGTTTCTAAAGATTTGTACAATGTACAGGTGGAAGAACAATAGGACACGTAGTTCCCTACTAGGCTCATCCACCTAAACTCAACCCACCCATCCCACCTTGGGGAAGGACATCCATCAGACAGTAATCTCGTGCGTGGAAAATTAATGTCTCCTACCCCTAACCCTGCAGGAGACGGGACCTCCATTTATTCGTCCCTATCCGAGGAGACTAGAATATCTAACCATTTCTTGATGTTATAGAAAGGAAGCATATTCTTCTCAATTATTTTAAGACCTTGAGTGTTGGTCCTGCTGGGGCTCGAACCCTTGACCTCCCGCACAACAGTCCAGCGCTCTATCCATTGAGCTAACTGGGAGACGGTTCGGTTTATATAAAATGTTAAAATAAAATGTTAATAAATGTTACTAAAATGTTATGATTTTAGAAATTTCTCTGATGTTCAGCTCTGAAATTATACTAAAACAATTATTCGTCTCAGGTTCGGTGAATGTTGTCAAATAATCCCTTCGACTTCGTCTCGGGGATTATTCGACGATATTCACCTTGCCTTCAGCAAATAATTGTTAAATATATATATATAACCACTAACATTGGACATAAATTCCTTGCGCTGATTGACAAACACTTCCCTAAAGACCATAAGCTCCACACAATTTTCAATAGAAACACAACCAAGATTAGTTATAGCTGCATGGACAATACAAAACAAATCATCGACAACCCCAACAAAAGAATCCTCACCTCCCAGGTAAAGACTAACACCACCACCAAAACTGACACCTCTACCGCAAACAACGACAAGAAATGCAACTGCCGACAGAAAAACTCATGCCCTATAAATGGAAACTGCCTCCAACAATCTGTCATATACCACACTACTATTACGCATAAAGACAACAACATGACAGACACATACATCGGACTCACTGCAAACGACTGTAAGTCTCACTACAACAACCATACCTCATCATTCCAACACGCAATGCACCGCAACTCCACCAAACTCAGCAAACACATCTGGACACTTAAAGACAACAACATCGATTATTTCATTACCTGGCGCATCCTATCTTCCCACCTGCCCTAGAACAGCTCAAGCAAACGATGCAACCTATGCCTTAAAGAGAAATTCCTGATCATCTGCCACCCAGACCTATCAATACTCAACAAGTGTAACGAACTCGTCTCTTCCTGCCGACACAGAAACAAAGCCCTATGCAACAGCTGACTTGACACTTTTCACACTGCATAAACCATGTTAATTAGCAATTAGTATAGTATATAAGCGATGGTTTTGCATTATTCTGCCATTAAAATCCCCTGATGAGTGGGCAACCACGAAACAGGTCTGTAGGGATGTATATGTAGTTGTTTTTTTCTGCCTACCACACATTTATTTATCTTTTACCTTTATATATATATATATGTATATATACATATATATATATGTATGTATGTTTATATACATACATATATATGTATGTATATAAACAACTAGTGTTTCATGCCATAACATGGACAGTCAAAGATCCAGAATATGTTTGCAAAGGGTATCCTGGTCAAGGTTCTTCCAAATGAAAATGTAAAGGCAATTTTGGCAGAAAATTTATTCTAGACAGCTACATGTATTACAAAGCCTGTAGCTTACATTTTTACATACATTTACATCACCTTTATTTCACCTCGGATTTACAAGAGTAGCTATATAGCTAACTTCTCCGAGAAAGAGAAAGAAAGTTAAGTAAATAAATAAATAAATAAGTAAATAAATTAAATAAAAACAAATAGCGTCGTATATTATATACAGTACATTACACTACTATTTACATAAGTAACAATTACATTTACGTTCGAAGGAAATTTAATTTTCTAGGAAATTGAATGTTCTGCTGGAAACGTAAACAAAACCCCACCAACAATCACAATATGACATATACACAGCCTGTCAGATGACGCGCTTGATGATAATAATTACAATATTTTTTTCATAACTAACGGTCTATCAGCAATAGCAGACAAAACATTACACTTATTTAAGGTAAAAGATAAATAAATATATTTTACCTTGCTAATATAACACTATACTGTACAGAAAGTGAGCTATATTCCTTCCACTTCCTTCCAATAATCGATCCGCCGCCTCGCCATGTTCTGTCCCGAGGGATTTATTAAAGGCCTGGAGGTTAGTCATGTGATGTTGTCTTGTGACCTGCACGAGAATAGCTTAACTCATCAAAAACAGAAAACGCCGGTAGGAATTGTCATTAGTAATTTCGACGAAGACTTCGAAGCCACGAAGAGCCATCGTTCGTCTCATTAGAATGAAGTCCCTTTTGGTGTATTTTACCTTCTTGGGACTTGCGTGTGCTTTCAGATTTCCCATTCGCAAATACAGCAAAGGTTGTTATCAGCCGAGGTTTGACAAAGGCATCAAGGAAGTTGTGTGAGTAAAAATTTTATGATGTGTTCTGCTTTCGAAATTTCTTTCAATTTCGTTTGAAAGAGGCCTACCTTTCTTGGAGGAAATTAATCAAATTGTATAAATTGCAAGGTGAGCGTGAGTTTTTTGGCTCAGGGATTTGTTCATATCAATCGCGTGTCTTGAATTCTGAACTGACCGACCTGGATAATACATTTTGGAGCCATTGATTTGGAATGCAAACCAGATTTGTTAAAGCAGAAGCTGATTATCCAAATTGAGATGAAAATGTTGAAATGATGAATGCGGAATACGATAAGTTACCATTTTAAAGAACGTAATGTTTTTTTTTACTTAGTCTACTCTCAAGTGTTGACAATGCTTTTTTAAAATGATTTGGCCGAATCAGTGGTAAGATATGATGTCAAAAAATGCTTTGTCACCCAATGCCTGCCTAAAAGAACTAGAGCTTTTACAGGATTGGGCAAGATTTCCCTTAAATCCTTCGAGATTCGAAAACGGCCTTAATCCTAAAGGTAGCTTATTGCTTTTGCTACTGTTTGCTTTCATCAAAGAACTGTATGCATAATTTGATACAAATGTATGTACCCGTATGCTGATTTAACCAATACGTCAATACCTTTCAACTTATTTTCAACTTTTAACAGGAAAACTCCACGGCCCCATGAGTACCTGAGTGCAGAGTCAGTTCCCAAACAGTGGGATTGGAGAGATATTCCTGAGAAAGGTAGCTTTGCTAGTGTTTCACGTAATCAACACATCCCTCAGTACTGCGGCTCCTGTTGGGCTTTTGGGACAACCAGTGCAATGTCAGATAGAATCAACATCATGCGCAAGGGAAAGTGGCCCAGCAACCTCCTGTCAGTTCAAAATGTCTTGGACTGTGGTAAGCAAATTTTGATTGTTATCTCAAATATCTTAAACTCTGCATGATTTTGAATTTGAAGTGAAAGGGCTTGGAAACCCATTAGAAAACTGGTCAGAAATGCAATTCATATTTGTTACTGAGAGAAAAAAATGTACAGATTTGGAAAACTGCCAAAAATAGATATCTTATTTCCTTTCACCTTAACCTAACAGTTAGTAATCACCATGGCCCATAAGGAAAAGGGGCATACCACACAAAGCCTGTGGGAACTCATTTTAAAGTGCTTAAAAAAATCTTCATGCTTTGGTGAGTATCTCTTTGAAAAAATTGTTGGATTTGGTCAAATCCTTGAATTTTTATACCCCTTTGAAGTACGGAAAATCGCATTCAAATCGCTGCCATTTTAGCTTGCGACAGTGTTTCAAGGATCAAGGGTCTGATGTGTAATGTGACATCACTTCGAGAACCCAACAATCTGTATTTGGCTCCATTTCGAACATTTCATTTGTTATGTTTGGAAGGTTAGATTGATATTGGTCGCAAATATGCCGCACAGATGTATTGTTGGAGGTTGTAGTAACATCAGAAGCTTGGAGAATGGAATAGCGCTCCATACGATACTGTTCTACGGTGATGAGCGTCTAGAGGTGAAGAAATGAAGGAAGAGATAGACTGCCTTTCAGAGTGGGGCATAGTGCTGTCTGGAGTACCACAAGGGACAAAGTTGGGTCCCTGGCTTTTTCTTTTGATGATCAATGACTTGACAGTTCCAAGTATCTTTAACTTGTGGAAATATGTTGATGATACTACAGTATCAGAGAGCATACCTAAAGGCCAACAGAGCAAGTCACAAGAAGCAGTAGAAGCAATCTACAACTGGTCCAAGGAAAATGTGTTCCAGCTTAATGGCAAGAAAAGTAAAGAATTAGTTATATCCTTCTGTCGTGATCCCCCGCAACTCCCTAGGGTTTGCATAGATGGATCTCCTATCCAAACCATACAGAGCACAAAGTTACTCGGTTTGACAATCAATGATACGTTAACGTGGAACGACCATAAAGAAGAACTTGTCAAGAAGGCGTCTAAGAAACTGTACTTTGTTATTCAACTTAAGCGTGCGCATATTCCTACTTCAGATCTCTCAACATATTTTTGCGCATGTATTAGGTCTTCACTAGATTATGCTTGTCCTGTTTTCCATTACAGTTTACCAAGGTATGTTCAAGTCGAGCTTGAAAGTGTTCAAAGGAGGGCCCTCTCATGAATTTTTGTCAGGGTGCGCTACTCAGATGCATTTCAGTTAGCAGGGCTTGAGTCCATCAGGGCCCACCAGGAAAATTTAACAGAACATTTGTTTAAGTCTATTGTTAATGACCCATGTAGTAAGATTACCATCTTCCTGCCTCCCTCAGTTTCTGTTTCATATGAGCTGAGAAGGCAGAGGAGGTTTGCCACGCCTCTTGTAAAGACAATTAGATTTGGAAATTTATTCATTGTTAAGAGTGTGAGGGAAGCATTTAAGGGATTTTTAAGAGTAGTTGTTTATGTAATTTTATTATAGTAGTAGTTGTAGATCATTTCTTATTTCTTACTTGTAAAGAGGTGCAATTCAGTTTTTTAACTGCAATGTTTTTCTTAATAAATACAGTACAGTATAGATTTTGTGAGACTGAAATGTGCTAAATGGGAGCCATCGAAGAGTTCTGTGATATGCTCGAAGCATTTCAAGCCAGATGATTTTGTTTGAAAGTACACATTGTTAAAGGACCAAGAAGCTCTATCAATTCTGTATTTAGAGCAAGACAGCTTTGGAATTACCTTTACCTTCGCTTCCCGTCTGCCGATACCTTTCCTTGCCTTTGGTTTTGACCTTGTCTGCTGCTAATCTCAAACTCCACTTCTGAAGACAAAGGGGATAAAGTCCTGGATGTTCAGTGATACAGGTCAGGTTAACATCAGGGGCAAGATATTGTATGACAAGGTCACTTTTCATCGATTCTTCGCAGCCTTCCAGTTCACAACAGCAATAACATTCACTGATGTTTTTTAACAAAGCGACGTTGCAATTTCCACACTTGTACCTAAAGTTCAGCAAATTTATGTTAGCAGAAAAGTCATCTAAGAAATACATAAACAATAGCGCCAGAAGCAATTGTGCCAACACACGTAATGCATAACTAAAGCTAACCCGCAAATCTCGCCATTCCGTCAGTTCTACATTGCCCTGTAATGGGTCCTTAAGGCTTCGTTCGAGCGCTTCGTTAGCCTTCATTTCTTCTTGGTATTTTTTTATCCATTCTGTATCAGCCAGTGGCTCGTCAGTATAAGCAGTGTTGTCATCGCTTGAATCACTCAAGGTTTCTTGCGATAATGGTGAGACACGAGATGACTGCCCTTTGTCTTGAAGTTTGTATTCAGTAATAAAATTCATTTCAGAGTTGAAGCTCATCTCCAAGTCCAATGATTCAGAAGACATTGTTATTTTCACTTGAATTTCAGAAGCTATGAAGAAAAAATAGAATGAATTTCGTGCTAGAAAGGCTTTTTCAGATCGACGACTGGCTGAGAATTCCTTGAACGTCTTGAAGTGATGTCACAACTCTACTCTGCCCAGATTCCCATTTATGTGGTCATGGTCCATTTGGATCTCGACTTCAATGGGGCATAAAAAATATAGGATTTTACCAAATTCAACAATATTTTCGAAGAAATACTCACCAAAGCATGAAGATTTTTTTAAGCAAAAAAAATTTTAAGGGTTAGGTGCACTTTAATTAAATACACGAAAACTGTCCCAGGTGCAGAATATTACCAACTGAAGCTCAAATTAAAATGAAATGATGAGGCATAGGTTTCCTTTAGAGAGGGAAACAAAAGAAAGTGAAAATTGTCAAGAGCTAAAATTGAATGGAACCCAGTGCTCTGAAACTTTAATTCCAGGGTGTTGAGCTTATACTTTGTATGAAAAAACTGAAATTCCTGAGTTGCCCAAGAGCAAAAGTAAGGCACCAGAGGCCACTGAGCACTGCTAGACCACAGCCTCAGCTATTTTAATTATTTTTAACTTAATCGTCAACAGGCAGTGCTGGTACATGTGAGGGTGGTGGTATGATTGGTGTGTATCGCTATGCTCATGAAAAGGGAATACCCAGTGAAACATGCAACAATTATCAAGCCAAGAACCAGAAATGTACAGAGTTCAACCAGTGTGGTACTTGCACCACCTTTGGTGAATGCCATGCTATTAAGAACTACACTTCGTGGAAAGTCAGTGAATATGGTAAGATCTTTTGAAAATGGTGATATGGAGTATGTGATACTTAAAAAAAGAAAAAAAAAACTCAATGAAATAATGATTTTCATTCAGTACACAATTTACCACCTTTGGCATAGGTGGTGCACACATACTGAATTGGTTATTCTTGTTCAGGTCCAGTCTTTGTTTCTAACACTATTAAGAACTTTATGTATATCATTGCAATGTTTACTCTTCACAGTGGAATTGTACAATTTGTAGTGATGACACTTGTGGGGTGAAAATCTCTGATAAGTATAACTTTATCAACACGTACGAGGAATCATAGATTCTACCATAGCATCATGGCTTCAGAAAATCTTTGTGCCATTCTGCAAGTAGCTGGGTGAGATCTGGGTCAGATAATAGCAGCATGATTTTGGTCTGATTTCAGTAGGGCAGATTAGCTTGGAAGTTCTGTTGAACATTTTTTGCTTCTTCACCTAACAAATTTCCTAAATGCTTTCACAGGGAATGTGCATGGACGTGAAAAGATGATGGCTGAAATTTATGCCAGAGGGCCTATTGCCTGTGGCATCATGGCTACTGAAAGCCTGGAGAAGTACCAAGGAGGAATCTACACCGAGTATGATCCAAGCCCAGGGATAAACCACATTGTGTCAGTTGCTGGCTGGGGTGTGGAAAATGGTACAGAATACTGGATTGTGCGCAACTCCTGGGGTACTCCATGGGGAGAAGAGGGCTGGTTGAGGATTGTAACATCAACATACAAGGGTGGAGAAGGTGGAAAATACAATCTGGGCATCGAGGAAGATTGTGCATTTGCTGTTCCCATTGTGGAAGAGTAGAGGATATCAGCAGATATGAACATTCTCCCCTGCATTATAGTGTAATAATTTTTTAGTTCAATTTTTTATTCTTTGGTAAAGTTAGTAATTTGATTACATCTTTTATCTTCTCTTGTAATGTATTTTTGAGAGATATTCCTGTTTGTTTAATAAAGCAGTCTATCACATGTGAGGGTGGTGGTAGGGTTTTACACATTTTTTCAAAAAATCTTTTTGAATGGAACAGAATTACAATTAAATAAAACTGTTTTATTTGAAATTCTTCCTCTACCCCTTGACTATGTAAGCTTTTGTTATTGGACATCCATGGCCAGATCCACTATTTCTGAGCTCAAGGCAATCAAGTCAAAGGGCAAGAAGATAATTCAGATAATTCCAGTTGATGTGATCAAGAAATTGAGGCAATGGAATCCCATTTCTTTGTATTATGTTAAAAGACTGCTGGTTCTGACCTATCAATCCTATCATAGCTTAAATACTAAGTATCTAAATATTTAATTTCAAAGGCAAAAACGAATTACAGCTTAAGAAATTCTCTAAATTTAGAAGTACCAAGACCAAGATCTGAAATTGGCAGGTGTTCTTTTAAACACAGGGCTGCCTTGGTATGGAATGTTCTTCCCCATCATGTCAAGGAATGTGCTAACTTAAGATTGTTTAAGATTAAGCTTAAGGCTAACAAGCATCTTCTCAATAGCATAAATTTTGCCAAGGGTTCCTGCTGTGTTTTAAGGAAACATGATGACTTTCTGTATTTTTAATTGTAAATTTAATATTAATTTGTATTTAACTTATCTAATTAGAATTGTATTTGAGAAGTAATTTCACTCTGTTTTTCCAATTTGTATTCTGTTTTATTGTGATTGTATTTAATTTGTAGTTAGGCAGGTCCACATAATGACTTCGGTCTTGCCAATCTTTCTAACCTGCATTTTTAAATAAAGATGTTTGTATGTATGTATGTATATATGTATGAGTGGGTGAGGGGAAGAACAGTCTTCCATTACCATGTTCTCCCTTGCACCTTTGACTTCAGCCTCCCAACCAAACTTCTCTCCCAGGATTCACCAGAAAGGAATTTCCTACTACAATGTTTCTAATAGACATCCTAATACATTTCTAAGGTGAAGAGGATAAAGCAAAAAATTATCTAGAGGGTGTTGAATTTTGGTATTGTCTTAATTTTTAAGAAATCAATTGAAGAGAGTATGGAGATTTTTCCTACTGCTCCCATTTTTGTTTCAACTGGTCTGCCCCAAAGTGACAGGCCATGGGAAAGACGTTGCGATCAACGTTGCTACCCGTACCACGTGTTTAGAGTACGTTCCAACAGGCAACCTCCGAAAAAGAAAGCCATCAAAATATACTAAAATCGTTACTAAAAGAGGGGGGCATTGAGGCCTCTGGGAAACCGCAAAACCGGAGAACCGACGAAAAAGGCAGCAAAACCGAAAACCTCATGCAAGACCTGACAAAACCGCTACATCTTCACCTTTAAAGGGGGTCAAAAAGGAAAAACCGAAAACCGCATCAGAGTTTTCGTGAAAACCGAAAGCCGAATGCAAAACACGTAAAATCCGCAAACCGCTCTGAACATCAAAACCGAAAAACCAAACCTTTTTGGCCCAAAAACCTAAAAACTGATCTAAAAATCAGTTAAAACCACAAAACCGAAAATCCTAAAGCCTCATAAAACGTATATTTCGATATTCTTAGAATTTAATTGCGTTACACAATTTGAGATGTGTTGTACCGACTGAGATAACGGGGTGTGGACAAAACCTGGCCTAGGCCATGGCCTACCCTGTGGCCTACCCTGTGGCCTACCCTGTGGCCTACCGGTGGTCAGATTTTTAAGAACATAAAAATAAAATCAGTAAGAGTCGAACGAATACGCTGGTGTACAATTATCTGTCTCTGAAAAGTACGGTGGCCTAGATGGCTCAACGCAAACAAAAAATATACTGCAGCAAATAAAAAATATACTGCAGCAAATAAAAAAAATCAAAACGCAAAGAAAAAAGTACCGTAGCAAATAAAAAAAATGCAACGCAAACAAAAAATACTGCAGCAAATAAAATATGCGACGCAGACAAAAAAAAAGAAAACGCGAACAAAAAAAATTGGAACGCAACGCCAAGGCTGGGTAATAGTTCTTAGTTTCCCGCCAAAACAGCATGAACTGGAACTCGTTTTTGGTTATGGACGAAAGCGATCTGCGTAGGATTATAGAAGATTACTTTCATCAAGGGTATGAAAATAAAGTTATTATCAAATTTTTNTGGTTTCAGGTGGTTTCAGGTGGTTTCAGGTGGTTTCAGGTGATTCCAACTTTTAGTAACTACCTTTTTAATGGCCCTCACGTACGCTTGAAATTCGATCTCAATATGTTAGTTATTGCCGTTAATTTTACACCCAAAGTCACACACAGTACGCTTGGGCCGCCTGTGGGGCTACCAGAAAAAGGATAAAAAAGAAAAAGGTGCGTGTGATTCTGGGATCATGCGAGTGTAGCTCGGTTCTGCGTTAAAATGGCGGCACGTGTGTCTCATCGCTGAAGTGTACTGGAGTCACTGGTGCAAATTGCGTTTTCCTCTCACACCGTGTGTTTCCTTTGGATAGTGATACTTCAAAAGTTATCCGAAAAAGCAGCGATGGTCAGGGATCTGTAAAGCAGGCGAGGTTGATGCGCTGAGTGGCAAGAATCATTTCAAAATAACCCATGTTTTGTACGTTGTTCTTGTTGGTGTGTTTTTCGGTAGAATAAAGGGTAGGAGGAAAGCTCAAAATTTCAGTGTAGTGGAACTCACCACTGCTGAACTTTTGCGCTTCCTGAAAAGAATGCCTGAAATCTAGGTGTCATAAGGTGGGAAGTTGGTCTCTTCTCCTCCAAATCGATCTTCTGGTTATTCTTAGATTATTTTAAACCCCAACATTTTCTTGGGAACGTTTCTCACCCTTTGAAAGGTATTAGTGAGTTTTTTCATCAAAGAGATGGTACTCCCTCTCTGGGATTAAGTTGTCCCCAAGTCAAGTGACTTTGACCCCAAGTGTACTGGGGTGGATGTAGGATTTAGTCAAGGGGGGTTTGGAGAATTGTCCCCCTCCTGAGGGGTCCCAGATTTTGAAAGCTAGGTCTTTGGAAACATGAGGTCTTCTGAGGGAAAATTTAAGGGGTTCGACTGAACCACCCCTGGATCCGCCCCAAGTGTGGTGTTGATCATATCATCGTCAATTTCTTAACCCTTTAACTCCCATGAGTGACCAAGACAATTTCTCCTCACTGTATCAATACAAAATCAAGCGGACAGGTGACAAGAATAAAGAAAAGCATTAACAAGGAGATTTTTAGTCGATCCAATATCAAATTCTCCAAGCTAACAGGATAAGAATTGTGTGGTAAACAGTAAACAGAATTACTACACAAAACAAAATATTTTAGTACATTGTGATCTGGGAACAAATTAGTGGTTGAACACTTCTTTCAGCTGGTTTGACTACAGGTTATTGAGATATTCGAAGTAGAAGGGTTATTAAAGCAATGCTACTGATACAAAACAAACAATAGGTCCATCTTCTTGCTATATTCTAACTTTTCACAAGGTTAGATAAGCTTTTTATCACCTGTCTTGATGAAAATGATTAGGATTGTTGTTATAACTGCTCTTGGGACAAGGTCACTCAGACTGGGGTTTGAGAACTTTGGGACCAAGTGCCTCTGGAAAATAACAATTAATTTATTTGACCAGGGCAAGAACTGAGATGGAGACATGAATCTTGTACCACAATTAATTGATAAAAATATAAAAGTCACAAACACTTCGAAGCTTCATGTTTAATTAAGGAAGTTGCTGATTTATTTGATTAACAAAGACCATTATTCATTTACTCATATTAATACTTTATTATCAAACTTATTAATTATGATTTCCATATTTTGATTGACAAGTTACTAATTGAAATTTAAAATAATATAAAAATTGTGTGTACATTTGAATCAGACTTAAATCAGACTTGAATCTATAAGTAAATCAGTAAAAACCATTTCCTTTTGTATATTTAGATACTATCAGAACTGAAACTTGTAAACTCTCCTTAATTGAATTAGTAATAGTTACTTAATATAAAGTTAAAAGTTAGCGTTGATTAAGCATTTTTATTATGGAGAGTCCACAAAATGTCAAGTTCATAATAATTAGTAGAGTTCTAAGTTACAATTTCACCCTTAAGAATTAACTAAATTGTATGAAAATCAAGTCTGTCTGATTTCTAAGGCTCAGATTGAACAACATACATGCAATGTTAAAGTGTAAACTTGTGATTGTAAGAAACCATTTTTAGTTAATTTTTTTCCCTTTCAGTGCACAGATCTAACCACATTCAGAAGATGTAGGGTAGATTATTAAATGAACTTCTCTTTGAATTTCTAAGCTATTTGTGCTAAAATAGCTTAATTTTGAGGTTTATGAAACTTTGTCATAAACTCACATCCAAAGCTTTTATTTCTGAAATAGTCAAACTTAAGCAACTATTTCTGAAATAGGTAGCTTTGATGCTTTTATTTCTGAAATGGTCATATTTAAGTGACTATTTCCAAAATAGATAGCTTCGATGTTAGCTATTATTTCTGAAATGGTCAATTTCGAGTGACTATTTCTGGAATAGATATAAAAGCTTTGATGCTTATATTTCTGAAATTGTCACACTCAAGCAACCATTTTTTGAAATAAATAGCTTTGATGCAATTGTTGATTACAAGTCAATAATTGCTTTCATAGAAAAGAGAATTTTCATTTGATGCCTGACCTACTGAAGGGTCTTCAAAATGTGATGAGAAAAGTGTCCTGAAAATGGAACAAAAACCCAAACTCTGAAAAAAAATAAGACAAAAAAAAAGACAAAAAGCTGATAACTCCAGGTATGTTATTTAATCTGAGCTCTAGTTATCATTAAAACCGTTTTGTTAATTAGATTGGTGTGGATATGCTCTTAAAGTCTTTAAAAATGTAAAACTAATCTAGTGCACTGAAGCCGGACATGTAAACCCCAAAAACCCCTCCATAAGGGGAAAAATGGGGACCATGTACCCCCAACCAGTGCTACAGTGCAACCTTTGGGGTTTTAAAGTGTCTTAAAAATATATACCTTAAAATTAACCCAACAAAGTTTTATCTGCAGATTGACTTTGAGGAGGTGTGTCAAAGTTTTCCACAATTTGACATATACATTCATTAGACGAGAAGCAAGCTTTAAGTGGTTATTGAAGAACTCTCACTCTTGAATTCAATCAATCTAATTTCTCTCCTTCAATATTTCAACTTCAGTCATTAGTAGAAGTCTTAATGTGCCTGCAACACAAAAGTACACATTTACATACTTGTATTAGTATGTAAGAGGTCAAACTTTGAAAACTAACTCATTTTGGTAGCTCACAAAATTTGATATGAATTAAGGCTTATACTAAGGAGTACACAATCATGGTAAATTGTGTTTTGCCACTGGGTTGCCAGCCTGATGTTCTGATTTTACATTGTTGGCGTTATCATGGCTTCTCGCTCACATTCATATACCAAAGTAGGCTTATTTCAAGAGTAAAATTGTGTTTTACCATCTAGTTGCTTGCTAGATGTCTTCGTTTTGGAGGAGCATCTATATAGTTCAAGTCATTGTGGCCTATTGCTGGCATTCCATATGCCCTTAAACTGAGGGCTTTAATTTATTATTATTGAATAGATATTTTTCCTTTTATAACTAAACCACCATTCCAGGCCTTGTTTATTTTTCCTACCTTAATTTATAAAGGACTTCATAACCATGCAGGAGTGTATCATCATCCTTGCAGGTTGACCAAACCAGTTTGTGTGACTGTGCAATCATCATTTGCCAGGCCAGCATTGAGCTCACACTACGCAGTCCAGGTACATATGAAACTATATATTAAATAAAATGAAATATGTTTATTTGCAAATGTAAAACACATCACATATGTATACAGATTGAATGATCACTTCTTCATAACAGGTTTCAATTTAATATTGCTTTCAGGCATATCCTGAATAAACTGCAGTTTGTACCTACATGATTATTGTGAGGCCAAAAAATAGTTATAGTGAACTGTTTAAAACTTTTTCCTTTCTTATTGATTATAACTTACAATTTTTGATGTGGTATCCTGATCAAAGTAATTCATTTGCCTCCAACTCATCATCATCTGTTGTATGTTACTGGCTGGTGTAATTATGCATGGAATTTGAAACTTGTGTATAGTACGAGTTTTGACCAACCTAAAGCTTGCTTGTCCAGGATGTAGGTTGTGGACTGGTGGTTTTCTCTGCAATTTTGGCATAGAGCAAAGACTGATCCAGAGAATTCTGATTGACTTCTTTGTAACATCATGGCAACTGTAAATTAAAGAACTTTCTAGCACAATATTGGATCTGCTTACTCAACTGTACGTTTTACTTAAAATTTAGAATGCAGCTTTCTTGGGTTTGAATCCCATAGTGTTTTAAATGCTTGTGGCCTGGGTTACATCCTTTTCCAATGAGCACTTTCACTACCTGTTACCCAGTAATAAAGACAGTTTTTCATGAACTTGAATCACATTCAGGTTTAAATGCTTTCAGTTTAGTTCTATTCCTCTTCTACTAAAGCACTTTCACGTTCTATAACTTAGTGTAAGAAAGTGTGTCATGGGTTTGAATCCCTTTAAGATTTAAGTTCTTTTGTTTCAGTGAGTTCCTTGTTTACTAATGAAAACACTTCCACTGTCTGTTACTTAGTGCAAGAAAGTGTTTAATGGGTTTGAATCCCATTAACATTTAAATTCTTTTGCTTCAGTGAGTTCCATATCTACTAATAAAAGCACATTTCTTGAACTGTGCCTTACCTGTGGCAGTATTTACACCAAAGAATAGGGTAAAGTATGATAGAATTTTAGTACAAGCTTCTGCTGGTGGCAGAAGTAAGAGGTATATGTAGAAAAGAGGGTTAACACTTTCCAAAAGAGAAGTCATTCAAGGATAAGGAGGTAGTATTGACAGTGAGAAGGAATAAACTGAGTGGAAAATCAGAATTGGATAGGATTACTGTAAGTTGTAGAAGCTGCACAGTGGTGGAATGTCTGATTTGATCATGTTCAAAGGAAGTGACACTTGGATTTGAGTTCCCTGACAATGACAGGTCTTTGGAACTGAAGGTATATCTCGTGTATGATTAGAAGGAGTTCGGAGTAATGTCAGCTAATGCTGACTTGTCAATAAGGACCGCTCATTGCATATTTGGGGAAATGAGCACAGGAATTAAGGTTAATGTTGGTATGTGTTTGTGGTAGAAAGGATGAGGCCCTCGTGGCATTTACACCCCTTGGTGACTTGTTGCCATGCAGCTTTTTGGCAGGAAGTCAGGTGTGGGAAAAGGACCACATCAGTGCCTGAACAAAGATCTGACCGACCTTCTGACGAGGAAGTTGTCTGGGAAACTGTTAACCATGAAGTGAAGCGGATATCTGTCAGAGGCCATCAACAACAAGATCAGACCACGACATAAACAGCTGCCTTGAATCTATGGTTTACCAAAGATTCATAAAGCCTGTACACCTCTGAGACCAATTATGAACACCTTTGCATATGATATGTTGGCTTTTTTAGCTTACATCTTACAATCCACAATCAGTCAAGCATGGTATTGTCAAGTGCTTTTACAAGGGTGCAAAAACATCTTGTAACAAAACCCTCCATTATCTCCAAGGAGAAGAGACAGTCGTCATCTGTTCTTGTTTTTAGTGGTTATCCTTCCTGTCCTTCGTGAATCTAATTCTCTGTTCTTGAATTGTGCCTTTCTTGTTGCAAAATTACATCCAAGAATAGGATAAGCAAAGATATAATTTTAGTGTACAGGTGAGAGGTACCTGTAGAACAGAGGTTTAATATTTTCCACAAGAGAAGTCATTCAAGGGCAAGGAAGTCCTGTTGATAGTGAGAAAGGAATTAAAACTGAGTGGAGATTTGAAGAAAATCAGAATTGCATAGGACTGTTATCGCAGTTGGAAAGTAACAACAAAATCACCCTCCTCAACACAACAGTTACAGTAGAACCTGATGGATTCCTTAAACCATTGACGTTTACAAGAAGCCAACACACACTGACCAATACCTGGCATATGATTCTCACCATCCACAATTAGTAAAGTGCACTATTGTCAGGTACTTTTATGAGTGTGCAAAACATCTTGTTAAAAAAACCCTCTGTTGTCTCCAAGTAGAAGTAACATCCATCATCTGTTCAAAATTGTTTTTAATGGTTATCTTTCCTCCCTTGTGCAGAGGTTAACAAAAACTAAGATACTGACTGCCAGCATTGAAACCGCCAGGGGGTTCAGATCCACCCACAGTCCTGCCCTATGTTAAATGCCTCTCCAAACAACTTTGCTGCTGTCCACAACAACAAAGCATACATGTAGTTTTGAAGTCAGATCACACCTAGTAAACCCAAAGGATGCTGTCCACCCAGTTAAACAGGATGGTGTAGTCTACAGGATTCCCTGCAAGTGTGGAAAGGTTTACATATGTGATACTGGCAGACCTATGCAGGAGAGAAAAAAGAACACGACAGGGATATCCGACTGACTAAGACGCTGACCTCTGCCATCTCAGAGCACACCCACAACTCCTGACCTGGCCATTATGTTTATTGATCATGATCCCCATTTCTATACACAGGGAGGGTGAAAGAGGCAATTCACATAAGACTTCACCCTAACAACATTGGCAGGGACAGTGGAATTGAAATACCAGAAGCCTGAATGCCAACAATAAAAAACACAAAATAAAGCAGGAGATCTGTGCGGCAGTGGACTACAGAGGGAGTCAGATCTAAAAGATGCACCAATCACAGCTGTGGAATTCCATCCAATCACAGCTGTGGAGTTCCATCCAATCACAGCTGAGCACAACACTGTATAGGTGACGCATACTTGCCTGGAGAAGACTAGCAGTATACAGTCAAAAGGTCACAATCGACATCCCAAGTGACCACGTTGTGAGACAAATGAGTACATAACTCTTAAGTGTTAATTGCCACAATAAATAACCAAAATTCTTGTACTTCATGGTATCTTTTGAGCCATGGTAGGAAAATAAGCAGTCCTGAAGATGTAAGGTTGCATGTAATCTGTCTATTAGAATTAGTGGTGCTCTTCCAAGTCTTTAATTTTAGACGGCTTGTTTTCATTTGTATTATACCTTCATATCATCTGTGTAGATTGAAGTGTAATAGTCTCTTTATAGCCTTTGCTTCTTGGTGGTTTGCTGTTATCTATGCAGTTGGATGAGAGAGCTGTCCTTGGGATTCGTGTATGATTGGAATGCGACCATGTTGTACCTTCAGAGAGGTGTAGAAAGTGTGATTATGTTGTACCTTCACTCTGAGGTGTAGAAAGTTTGATTATGTTGTACCTTTACTCTGAGGTGTAGAAAGTGTGATTATGCTGCATTGTCTTTGCCCAAAGGTGTCTTGTTAAAGACTGTGTAAAAGAAAGAGCAGTCTTCTTGGGTGGTCCTGAAGTAAGGTGGTATGTTGTCTTTGCCCAAAGGTGTCTTGTTAAAGACTGTGTAAAAGAAAGTGCAGTCTTCTTGGGTGGTCCTGAAGTAAGGTGGCATGTCATCTGGCCATAAGAATTAGTATTGATCTTCCAAGGTCTTTAATTTGGTTGGATAATTGATTTTCAGGTTAGCTTGTTATCACGTGTGTGGACAAAATTGAAAAAGTAGTGAGTGATCCTTTACGTAGGGTGTCTTGTATCTTCAGTTGACCTTGCTGCATTGTGGCTCATCATCTGCCTTGAGAGCAAGGATGTTCGTGATCCTTGAGGGTCTTCTGTCATCTTTGCTTTATGTTGCTTGTTGTTATCACAGCAGCAGGAGATTTGATGGTTTTCTGTAGTCTTTTAATAAGCAGCCTCTCATTATCTGCATGGAATGAAGTGTGATAGCTTCGAGTTACCTTTGGTCAAGCCAGGTTGCCATTTGTGTGATGGACAGTGTGATGCTCTTCGGTTCTCTTTGTCTTGTGGTTCCTTGATGCTATAGCATGAAAGGAAGGGTGAGGGTGATATTCTCCATTTTCTGTTGCCTAAATGTGGCTGTTGAATTGTGTTCAGTGATGGGCAGTGGTCTTCTATGGCCTATACTTGTAGGTTCATTTCTGTCATCTGTTTGGTATAAATTACAAAGGACTTCTTGTGTATTTTGCTTCAAGGCAGCTTACAATACATATTTTGTGTGAAGTTTAGATTGACTGAGTCTTGAGTACCTCCTGGTTTAACATGTCTCTTAATCTGTGAAATAACGAGTCTGAAGGTCTTTTGTCATCTCAGTTTTCTTTGAAGTAGCTTCTTATTGACTATGTGGAAGGCAGGGTATTGAATGGTCATTTAGATTTAAGGTGGCTTCTCATGTTTTTAGTAGGTATTATGCTTTTCAGTTACTATAATAATTGCCTCCGTGTAGCTTAATTGTCATCTCTTAGTTGGAAGTTTGATGTTCTTGCAGCCCATTCCTCCAGATGGCTTATAGTCTGTGTATTGAGAAGTTTTAAGGTGTTTCTTGTGGTCGTCTGGTAAATAGGAAGTGTGATAGTCTTCTGTGACCCTTACTCTAAGATGGCTGGTTTTCATCTGTGTGTTGTGAAGTGCAGTGATCCTTTTGTACCTTTTTTTCACCCTTTTTTTAGGTTTATTGTCATCCATGTGTTAGGAAATGTGATGATCTATAACCTGGCATTACATCACTGTGGCTTTTGCTGGGGTAAGGGGGGTTGATGTCATCTGATTGGTGGAATGTGTAATACATTATATTTTAGCTCTTGCTTTAAGGTTAGTTGTCATCTGCTTTGTTTGGAGTTGTGTTCCCAAAAGTGCTTTTTGTTTCCATTTCAAATATTGTTCTCAGATGTTTTGTTCTCTTTTGTGGCCCTCCTTTTTGGTTGGTTTGTCACAGTTAGCCATGGGGGTGAAAGCATGTGTGAATATAAAAGAGTATTTGTAGTGGCTCCTGATCCAAGGTGGCTAATCATATCACTGTGTAGAAGGAAGTAACCTTTTAACTCCATGAGTGATCAGGAAAGAATTTCTCCTTACAATATCCATACAATATCTAGCACACAGGTGATGAGATTAAAGAAAAATATCAAAAAGTGGGTCATTAGGTGATCCAATACCAAATCCTCACAACTAACATCTGTTCATAAGAATCATAATTATGTAAGATATATAGTAAGGAGAATTACTGGTGAGATCGTGGGAGTGAAAGAGTGAAGAAGTTCTTCTATGACCACCATGTGGGTTTTGTGATTTAATTGTGTGGTAGGATCAGTGCTATGCTCTTGTGTGGTTGGTTGTTGGGATTTATTGTGGCTTGTGAAGCCAGTAGTATTGCAGAGGTTTCATCTGATCCTGCAGTCTCTACAGGGTGTTGCTTCAAGGGGAGGGGGGGGGGGGGGGAAGAGCTGTTTTCATATGTGTGTTAGGAATTAATATCAATTGTCATAAATGCTTCTCATGTGTTTCCAGTTGAAACCTTGTGGTTATATATAGGCCGGGGTAAAGCTATCGGTGTGGTGGAATATGTGAATAACGCTCCTCATTGCTAGTTTGTGGATATTGACAGGTTGCTCGCTGGAAAGCTTGATGTTCTTATCAGTGGTCACAGCTCTAAGGTGGTGTGTTGTCAGTTTTGTGGTAGGATATGTGGTGCTCCTCTGTGGTCATCTGTTGCAATTTTTCATGGTTTGTTGAGTTGTTTTAAAAGTGCAGTGCTCTGAGAGGGTCCATTTTTCCAGTACTTCTTAGTGGTAATTTGTGGTGTAACTTTTGTATTCTTCTGTGAGACCTGTGTATTGTTGGAAGCAAGTCATTCTTCTGTGGCTCTTGTTTGGAGGTGACTTGAAGTCAACTGAGTAGTGGGATAATGTGATGTTCTTCTGTCAGTAGCTTTTGTACTTCAAAGTAGCTTGTTGGGTCATCTAAAAAATAGAAAGTGAAATCCTCTCTTGCTGCCATCCATTTTTCCAGTTTCCCTGTTTTGGTCATCTGTGTGGTAGGAAATGGTGCTTTTCTTTGGCTTATTGTTTTTCCAAGTGTCTTCCTTGAGGTGGATTGTTGTGATCATCTCTCTTGGAAGTGTTATGATAATCTGTACTAACCACTGTAGTTTTTGTTCATGATGCCATCATTAAGGTTGTGGTGATCATCTCGAGAGGAAGGGTTGGATGTGTGCATGTAACTCATGTAGTTGAGATTGAGTTGCTATTTTGTGACCCTTGCTTCCTGTTGGCTTGTAATAGTCAAGATTGATTTAGTAGACTGGCAGTTTCCATGCTAAAGGCACAAGTTCCAGGTTTAAGCTATAAAATAAAAACTTTACACTTCTCAAGAGTGATGTATGATTTAATTTAATAGAGTTAACAAACATCTTTATGCATACCCTGAAAGTCCTGCACACACGGATTTGCATACAATTTCTTTCTCCTCAAGAGACAATTGATTATTTAATTCATGAAAATGTACATTGTTCCAAAATAGTGTTGTCTAATTTTCTTACGCACAGTAAAAAAATTGGCCAACCGGTTTCAGTGGCTAAATTTCAATATCAATTTTAAGTATTATCAGACATCTTCTGCTCCTTTCTGATTTCATTGTCTTTAATTGGACCACAAAATTTTGCATCTTTGTGTACTTATAAATTTATGTGCTGTTGAAAGACACAAATAGCAGGTAATCTGACCTTCCATATACATTTGCCACCTTTGTATTCCGCTCATTTTAGTAAATGAAAAACAAATTTGGCAATTTGTCAAAGTCCTTTTTGTCATCAAGTCATATACTTTCCAGTCATGTGTCAGCAGCTCAAAACAACCAAAACAATTAAACATATAAGTAAGCTGTTCACCTGGTTTCTTCTTATCCCAATTTGTGTTTTTGGCCTGCAACATGATGTCCTAAAAACTTAAGAAAAAGTACATGTCAGTACCACTTTTATACATGATTAGAAGGCTGCTTACCTTGCCAGTAGTTGTAGGAATGCCCCGAAAGTGGCATAATTTGTCGATGAGTGTGCTCCTGAAAAGTAAACTTTGTTGATTTAGTAAATTTTTTTCTTTGATAAAATGACACACACACTGGTTTTCTGGATTTTATTGGTTTTGAACCATATTTACATGATGAACGTAGTCTAGATATCCTGAAATTAAAATGGTAGTTTATTTCAAATGGGTTTTGCGTGGCAAACTTGCAGAATGCTAGCTGATAGAAACAAACAGTCCTGAAAAAAAGAAGCTGTTTAGTAGTTTGAAAAAATTACCCAGACGCTGGTCTTTATGTTTTTATTGTTTTCAAACTCTTTTACATCATGTGACCTATGTTTATTTTATTATCTTGGAAAAAAAATTGTTAGTAGATTAATGTTTTTTTGCATGGCTCGCATTAGCTGAAAAGTAACATTTTCCCTGAAAAAGAGAATTATGTCAGTAGTTTTTAGTTTATCTAAATACAATAATGGACACAGACACAGGCTTTTCTGTTTTTATTATTGTGAAAATGTTACATCATTTATTAAGTATAGCAGAAACGCGCATTCCTAAGTGAAAACTTTTCCATCTGAGGAAACCTCGAGCATTCCTGTGTCA